ATATACAGCTCAGGCTCATTGTCAGGTAGGCGCCAAGAGAGTCAATTAATTTAATGGCTTTTTTATTATGAGTTCAGGTGCAGCTCAATTTACAAGTTTCCCTTTCAAAATCATTCAGCCATTAAAGCTGCATAATCTTGGGAGGTTTTGAAGACACTTAATTGATCAATGTTTTTTCTCTCCACGCATTATCTCTCATGTTTATTCATGAAGAGTGAAGCAGTTTTATAATTTGCACAAAGGTTTAGTGTATCTGGCCAGATCTTCCAAAAGGGGAAAAAGGATTGTGCTGTCTCCAAACCCACTGTGGAAGAGGGGGATTTGAGGTGTGCGGGCAGAGAACTGGATCTCCGGTTCCGATTCCCTTGCTCTGGCTACAGCAAGAGCCTGAGACCTGCAGCGCCGAGGGCCTTACTTGGCATCCAGAGGGGCAAAGGCTTGTCGGCTGGGTGGTTAAATTGTGAACAGAGCAAAGTTTGTCTTTAGGAATTTCCATCCCCTCATTCTCCCTTTCTAAACCATCATCCTCTGTATTGGTCTCTCCGCTTTCTAACATGCTTCACCCAGTCCTGGCCTTTGCAGAGTACCCTGGGCTAGAGATCTGTATTTCTCAAACTCAGAGGCACTTAAGAAGTTGAGGCCTATATCCCTCCCTCCAAGATACTCATATAATTGAGATACAGGCCTCAGCACTTTTTTTTTTTTAAGTCCCCGAGATCATTTCAATGTGCAGTCAGGGTTGAGAATAGCTGTTCTGGACCAGCACTTGTCCAAGTGTGCTCTGTGATTCATGAACTTCCTTAGGGTATTTGTGGAGAATGCAGATTCCTGGGCCCACCACCCCTATAGGCACCGAATCTTGTGGTAGGATCTGAGAGATTTGGGTTTTTAAGTAGCTCCCCAGGGGATTCTTAAGGGTCCCAATGTCTGAGGATCATTACTAAACCTTTCACCAGACCATTTGTTTCTTGTGTTATGGCAGGTCTCGCTTTCCATTGCCATACTAGTTTTTCGGTTCCTCAAAGGTAACAGGCTCATTCTATCCACTGGAAATTTGCACACTTGGGAGGTGCTTTCCTCTCTCTCTTTGCCATTAGAAAATTGGCAAAGATAACAGTGATGAAGCTGTACTCCCAGAAAGTCATTTCAAAGTGCATTTCAAAGTTTTGGGGGAGAAAAGAGTAGGCTCTGGAGGGCCACAATCCCTCCCCTTGGGACAGTTTGGCTTACTATGCTACCTGCTGTCACTGGAAACTATAGAGAGATTGCTCCAGAGACAGTGGGAGAAAACCAGTAGGCTTGATGTAGGTAGTGAAGGAACGGCAGGGAAGACCAGTGATATGGCACTGGGTCAGGTGCCCTAGGCATTCAGTGAGAGAAAGCTGTGCCGACAGGCACATTAAAGGTACCCAGGAGTGGAGATCCCTGGGTAGCTCAGCGGTTTAGCACCTGCCTTCCACCCAGGACGTGATCCTGGAGTCCCAGGATCAAGTCCCACGTCGGGCTCCCTGCATGGAGCCTGCTTCTCCCTCTGCCTGTGTCTCTACCTCTGTGTGTGTGTGTGTGTGTCTTTCATGAATAAATAAATAAAATATTTATAAAAAATAAATAAAGGTACCCAGGAGGACCAGGAGATAAAGCCTGGGCCTGGGAGTGGGTGCCACGGGGAAGAGAGCGGTCAATGGGCAGAACAACTGCAAAAGGCTAGTCTGGGTGACAAGGGGTACACCCAATTAATGGGCAAAGCCACTCATCTATCTCGAAGAATTATTGCTGATGGGATAATGTTAGTGGAAAGTTATTTTAATCTCTTGAGTCCTCTATAATTGGAAAAGTAGAATTTAACTTGAAGCTGGTTACATTGACTACCTATCAACTGCAGGTCTTTAAAGAAGGCTCCTACTCTTTTAGGGCAGTGTTTCTCAAATTTTAACATGCAGATGAATTAACTGGGAATCTTATAAAAATGCAGATTCTGATGTAATAGGTCTGTGGCAAGGATTACCCAGCTTCCCCTGGCCCAAGGACTACCCATGGAGCAAGGAAGTTTGATTATTGGGGACTCATCATTGGGATGAGCCAAGTCAAGGCACACCTACCAAATTATCAAGTTTATCGTCACCTTACACATAGCTTTATAATTATTTGCATGCATTCTAATCCCCTAAAAATCCCTATTCCAAAAGAGATACATGATAGCTCTCTATTAACCAAAGCACCTATTTAAATGGAAATCCCCGATTTTGACATACCAGATAACAAAAATTATTACCATTTTGTTGACCTGCCCAAGTGACAGGTCAATAGTGACACACTGGATATTGACTAGATTATCTGTGTTTTTGTGCTTGACAAAAGTGGATACTAAATATATGCAGACTTTAGGTTTGAGAAAACACAGTTTTCTTTCCTTTTTGATGTTTTTTTTTGGGGGGGTCACTCATGCACAGACTCAGTGGGTAAACGCTGTCAGAAATGGGGAGACAGGACACTGAGTCAAGTGTGGTCTTTCGCAGTTGCTGTTCTTACTGGAATTTTATTAGGAAACTGTCAAAGTAGATTTCACAAGAGGATCAGTCAGTGCTAACTTGTCATGAGCTGATGCCTCTGGTTTCTGGGTCATGAGGCTTGCAGGGTCGTGCTGGGCAAGGTGTCAAGTTCACGGACAGTCCTGCCAGTATTTAATCCAAGTGTATTGGGTCACTGGGGTAAATGGAGAACAAAAGTCCGTAATATCCCAGCAGCTGCTGTGTGTCAACAGGCACAGTAACTGTAAAGGAGGTCAGAGCGGAAGTCATCCAGGGACACTGCGAGCACCAGAAATGTCCCTCACTCATCAAGCATCCATCTGAGTTGGGCTGGCTTACGGCAGGCTGAGTCTTGGTAGTTTTTACAATCGAGACCCAAGCTGTGCTTCCAGAGACAAACTAGACTGTGTGTGTGTGTGTGTGTGTGTGCGCGCGCGCGTAGGTGGATAAAATTGCTCAGTTGGCTGAGACTTTAAAAGCTCATCTAGTCCAACACATTGCATCAGACAGACTCGAATGTCATAATTCCCAGACACACAGGGATCCCTTCCATCCTAAAATCTCAGTAGGTAAGTTTGCCTCACCACGGTTCCTCACCTCTTTCCAGTTGGCATCTCTCATGATCGGGAAACATTTATATGTAACACAAATCAATTTTTAAAACGTTACTGAGCACTTATTAAAAATCTAGAAAAGCAGTTGGCATTGTACGGGATTTCAGTATGTGTAAAGCATGGTTCCTGCCTTCCCATTCATCAGAGCTCAGCTTTTCTGCCAACTTTGGTAACCCTTCATTCAGAATTAGTTTTCTCCTGAGCTCCCATACTTTATTTATGAATTTGTTATAGCATTTATCACATTCTGATTTTTATTATTATTATCTGTGTGTGTGTACATTATCTCTTTGCTGGATCAATATGCTTCTGTAGGCATAAAATGGAGAAGGGAGGATTGGGTCCAGGATCCGTTTCATCAAATAATTTGAAAGAATGATTTGGGAGGGAGGATCTATGTTTAACATCCAAGTCAATACCTTTGATAGAGGAGAAACTGAATACCCGTCCAATTAAAATGAACATTCTGTGCACAAGAAGCAGATATTTATTCACTGTGACCTTATTTATTGAGGCAAACAGTTAAACAGCCTAAATATCTATAAGCCCTTGGCTGAATGCAGTTTGGGATACCTATATAATAAGATCCTATACCCACTGAAAGGATGGAGGCCGATCTGTATATCCCAGCATGGAACAATCACCAAGATATGGTATTAAGTGAAAAAGGCAGGATGCAGAATGATGGCTATGGTATGCTAATATTTATAATAAAAAGGTCTGCATGTGAGTATTATATGAATGACATATTTCTAGAAGGATACAAAAGGAATTAGTAACAGTGACTGCTGACCAGGAGGGGAACTGGGAGATGGGGCGGGGTGAATGGTGGGTTGATGAACCAGCTCTCTGGGGATAAGAAAAAAACAAAAACAAAAACAAAAGCCTATTTGTAGAGTTTGATCGTAGCTATGGTGTAGACACCTCCATCGCTGCCAATTTCAAGTTAACAATAATTTAGTGATAGGGTCACAAGACTGGCTCCAGTGAGGTGATCGGAGCTGGCTTCAAAGCACACTTCCAGACACAGAGGTGGGAGGGTGGCCTCTCGACGGTAGACACCTTGGTGCAATTTTGATTTCTGATGCCGTATCTGGGTTGACATTTTAATGTAGCAAGTATTTATTTATTTATTGTAACAAACTTTTAAATTTAGAAAAATTACCATGATTAGATTGCGGCATCCCACAATCTAATCTTTTCTTTCCTTGGAAGAGCTACAGGAACATTCAGGCTACAAAAGAGCCACTTCCAGAAGGAAGCTGCTGGCAAAGCTGGGACTTGCTGCTGTTGAAGCTCACACACTCGGCTTCCTAGCAGCTGTGTGGTCAGGAGGTAACCACGCCAAAGAGATGCTTCTCATCGACCACAGAGGCCTACCTGAGAGGACCCTGCGGGGGAGAAATTATCCAGCACTCTCTCTCTGTGCTCCTCCCTCAAAGGGAGGATGGCCAGGTCAGGGAGCCCACATCAGACCCTGCCAGCCAAGAAAGATGCCTCTTTCCATCTCCCCGGAAGCCATCCTGAACCAATCCCCACATCTGGTCTTGGTTCACAACTGGGCTCAACGTGTCTAACTCCAGCTTACTTTTCTGTTTTGCAGCCAAAATATTTTTCCTTAGACCGTTTCCTCTGTCACAAGCTCACCTCACCCTTGTTTATCACTTATCACACCTGCCAGTTTCCTGAACCTCCATCTTTCCAGGTCAACCAGGCACAACGCCAGGCCTATTTCTAAAGCCTTGCACCATGCCTGCCACATGTTAGGCACTCGGTGTGTGTTAGCTGGAGGGAGTCACCGATAAGTTACGCCGAGTTCTAATGACACTTGCCAAAGGAAACATCCAAAGACATGACATAAATGGAACATTTTTATTTGGAGACATCTGGAGCATTATTTTATCTTCATTTTCTATTAAGCCAGGAGCAGTCTTCCCAGAGCCAGGTGGGGGAGAATCATGTGAGGCTACATTAAGTTCGGTCCGAGACAAAGCCAACCACTTTGTATTCAGATGCAGCAGAAATACTGATTATGCGCTAGAAGAGGCCACATTTTGGCTTCTCGAACCTGCTGCCGAGGAACAGATCCAGGGTGAAGCATTGCAATTCCTTTGAAAGATGGCTACGAGAGTCTAGTGTTGGTTCACAATGCTCTGCTGCTTCTTAGCCTCCGGCAGGTTTTCATGAAAATTGTATATACTCTGTTAGGGCTCCTCGAACTCACACTGCTCCTCTGGTTTTGTTTCAGAATCCTTTAAATGTCTTGTGTATATGACTCTGTGTGGGTGTGTGTTGTTGGGGGGCAGGGGGTGAGGTGGGGGCGCTGCTCATTGGCACCTGTTGCTCCCTCAAGCTTGGGGGTGGCAAAAAGCTTCTATACTACCCAAAAAAGTAAACATTGATATATGGCCTTGCAGCAGTCAGGGGCACTAAGATCTAAGAACAAGTGAGAAGCGGAGCCAAATTGCTTCCAGTCACCAGTTAGCCACACCACAGTAGAGAGGTCTGAGGAGCAGGCCTAAGGCACCGAGGGGCAACAGCCTGGAGGAGAGCCGCTTTGTTGTGGCTCCACACTGTCCCCTCGTGGAACAAGGCTCAATTACACCCTCCTTGGGGGTAACCTGCCTGGAGGTTAAGAATCTCCCTGAAGGCACAGTATTCAAGATGGTAGACCTGATCTGGGCACAAATCCTAAAAGAACAGAAGCTTCCTGTGTGCTGACAAAACTTAGGCCATTTGGGACTCTCGTTCTGAGGAAAGGCTCTGATGAGGTCTTACTTTTGCGAGTCACCAGGGACTCTCGGGACCCCAACAGCCTGACCCATCAGAGGCGCCAAATGACCCAGACCTAAGGATGGGCAGCAAAAGTGGGCCACAGAGAAGGCATTGTTCTGAGAGAGTATAAAGCAAAGCCACAGGAGAGTGGGAGAGGCTTGTAACAGATCAAATGCCGGACTCCAGAAACAGGCTTTGGGACTGGCTTGATGATTCCCAACCCCCGCCCCCTCCGGGGTCTCACCTTGAACCAAAAAGGCAGCCAAATTAAGCCAGGCTGAAATATTGTTAAAATTAATAACACTGCAGCATCTATACTTGACTAATAGCAAAGCAGGAAGGGTGCCTGGAAGGTAAGGGTGTTTTTTTTTCCCCCTCTAGGTTTTCAAAGAAGCAATAAATTCAATAATAAAAATATTTGTGAGAGACTGGGTTGTGGGTTTTTTTGTTTTGTTTTTATGTTTTTGCAAAGAATGAAGCTTTTTTTTTTTTTTGCATTCATACAGGAGTAGCTACCTGGCTGGACAAACATACACTTTTTGGAATCCTGTATAATGTCACGGAGTTGAAAACTGGAATGGCTTGAGTGGTCTCCGTGCTTCCCGTGGGCATCCCATGCTGAGCAGTCAGGAGTGTGCGCGTCGCCTCCCCACTGGGACTTACACCCTCTTCATTCCTTTCCCCATGAGGCAAGCAAACACGGTCATGACCATTTTGGGATTCACTTCGACCAAGTCTTCTGGAAGGGCATATACTCTGGCCCCAATTTTGCGGGCCATAGAGATGGCATATCTAGAGGGAGAGAAGAGGAAGAATGAGAAGAGCCTGAGCAACAGAGTATGAAGGGGACCCCTCAGGAGCATAGTCACGTGGTTCTACATACCACATACCATGCAGCTCTCACTCCTGGGACAGCTGGGGGGAATCATGGCATCCCCTCACTCCTGTGGGCCAATCTCAGCTCAACAGAGCTCCTGACTACTGGACGTGCTGCCTAGACTCATGACAAGCACCACATTTATTACTTGCCCTTAAAGAACCCCTCTAGCTCTTGCTACGTTTGATGCCTTCGCCATGAGTCTTCTCTTGGGCTTTAGAGCAGCAGAGAAAGTCCTGGAACTGAACAAGAATGTGCGCTGGGAAAAGTCTGCAGACTCCATGTCAACTACAGCAAGGACGAAAAGGAGGAGGATGCGTGTGTCATGCTTCTACCTTGCACACCGGTTTTACTCTTCATTCCATTCCAATCCTTGCCCGCACAGGCATGTATGTATTTATGTCACTAAAATACCCAAAGAGCTAGAGTTTTAGAGGACACATTTTTCACATAAGGTTATCATAGCTCCATTGGAACATTTTGCTGTATTTTTAATTATGTAAAGGTAATTTTTATGAGTGGTAATCTGTTTCCAAACGAGCCCCCAAGACGACCTGGCAGTTCTTTTATTCACTTCATTTATTATCTGGTAACCTCTTACAACGACTGCTCCAGAGATTCTCCGTTCTACCCAAGGCCCCATTACGCCCTCTGCTCTGTTAACTAACTTTATTCCTCCTCTGTTGGTCATATGAAGAGCACCAGGCAAGCGTAGTCCCCGTTCTTTCTCCTGGCCCACTTCTCAATCACCTCTTCTCTAGCAATTATTAATGAAATAAAAATGTACTTTCTCTGTTATAAAATACAAAGGGAAGTTGTTGACGAATTAGAAAAAAGAGCTTCAAAAAAATCATGCAAATCTTGCCACCATGACATAAGCATTTTTAGCATTTGGTATAATTCCTTCTACTCATTTTTTTTCTAAGCAATTTCATACCATGCCCTTAGAGACTAGTGCTTGGGAGGCTGGGCTCTGAAGTCAGATTCTGAACCGTAGCTGAATCACTTAGTAATTATAAGACCTTGGACTCTGCAAATTAACTCAAGAAACTAAGTTCCTTAAACCTAATCACATTCTTCTTGAGGAATTAGAGGCAAGGTTTCTTGGGGGGGGGGCTCTTTTGGTCTTTATTTAAAATTCTAGGTCTTCATATGCATTCTTCCGTCTACCTGGAGGTATTCTTTCTGCCTCCTTCACCTGTCTACCTCTACCTCTTTCTTAGTCTTTTCAGTCCATCTCATCTTAGATTTTATTCGCTCTGTAGAGCTTTGTTTCCCTCCCTGTCTCTTCCATTGCATCACAGATCCCCCGTCTATCCCATGCATCTATTGTAATTACCATTTATAATTCCAGCATACCTGGAACTCAGCCCCCCCACCCCCACTTTCCCAAACTGGGAACAGAAAAAAGAATACTGTTGAGGTTACACACACACACACACACACACACACACACACACACACACAGGGCTTCTGGGCACTATTCAACTTCTTAATTCCAGAACTTTGTGAGGGATTGAATTGTGATCCCCACCCTCAAAGATAAATGGACACCCTATCCCCTACTAAGTCAGAGTATGGTCTTCTTTGGAAAGAAAGTTGTTCAGGTGTAATCAGTTAAGCCAAGGACATGCTGGAGTAGGGTGGGGCCCTCAGCCAACATGACTAGTGCACTTAACAGGAGAGACACAGACACACACACACACACACACACACACACACACACCAGAAGGGAGACAGCCATGTAGAGTCACAGACACATAGGCGAGGTCATGTGAAGATGGAGGCAGAAACTGGAGTGATGTATTTATAAGCCAAGGACTGCTGGCCACCACCAGAAGCCAGGAGAGGGACAAGGGACAGATTCTCCCCCACCCCCAGCCTCAGAAAGACCAACCCTGTCAACATCTCGATCTTGTGCTTATACCTCCACAACTGGGAGAGAATACATTGCTGTTGTTTTAAGCTGCCCTGTTTGTGGTATTTGGCTATGACAACTCTAGGAAATAATGCAACCTGCTCGGAGAAAAGCACTACTCCAGAGTATAGGTCAGGAAACTCTCCACAAAACACCAAGTGGTAAATATTTTAGGCTTTGGGGGCTTTGTTACAATGACTCAACTCTGACCTGTAGCAGGGAACCAGCTGCAGAAAATATATAAATGAATATGCATGGCTATTCTAATAAAACTCTATTTATAAAAGCAGACAATGCTCCAAGTGTGGCTTATCGACTGTAGTCTGCTGCCCCCCACTCTACATGGTGGAGCTGCCCTCAAGCAGTTGCTCCCAAGCTGGTAAAGACTTTGGTCTTGAACCCCAGTCCTGCCCATTCATATCCATGGATAGTCATAAATGGGGTGTTTATATTTGGGCCTGGCATGTATTCCTTTACTTAGGAAGTCTCTCATAGATTGCAACTGGGAAATTGGTTTTATGAAACTATAGGCTTGCTTATCGATTGGAAGAATATTCTTGTGTCTTTGTCTTGCTTCCATTCTTACACTAGGAGTCTTAAACGGCTATTGTACAACATCTAAAATAATGGTGATGGGACACAGCAAGTAATGAGAAGAAAAAGCAAATGGTGCATCAACTGTGCAAAAGGCACAAGCAATAGACTTTACAGCTTTCCCATTGCCAGCTGGGCCCTCCCCTCCCTGGACTCAGATGTATTTACATACTTGGCATTGTTGAGTTTTTCTTCATCATTCAGGTTTTCTGTCTTCAGAAGGTCATAGTTGATGGAACCCGGTTGAATGGCATCAATGAGATCCAGCACAGGCAGGCTGGTGCTAATCTTCGGGTCCTGCATAGAGAGAAAGGGATGGTTTCATCATTAGGACCCCAAATTACTCCTGTTCAGCTCAAGGGAGGTGGATGGCTCTCTTCTCTTAAATACAAAAGATCACAACCTGGTCTGGGAAATGCCACAGTGTTCCACATGGTGTCTTAAGTCAACCGTGGTTTTGATAGGGAGCCACCAGCCTCCTGTTGGCTCAGCAAGTGGAGGAAACCCATTGTCTCCCAACAGTCAAGGAGTCATTCTCACACTGGGAATGGAAGGAAGTTTGTACAACATCCCAGAGCTGACTGGCAGGGTTTGTGGTGAGGGCTCATCTGGGCAGGAGCTTCAGCATATGCTCCTTGGAGACTCGAAGGAAAGAACAGAGTCTGTGAGTTATAGCAGATGTGTGATTAAGTCAATGACCGTAACTGGTACTTGTTGCTGCCTCACGGTTTGCCCAGAACTTCTTGTCGCCACAAGCCTCAGGTGTAGGCATCTATCTCATCTTAATTGACAGGGAGTCAAGGGAGTTTCTGAGGTTAAATGACTTACTGATAACTGGTGGAGCTGGTATTTGAACCTAGGTACCCCGTCTTAAAATTCTGGGCTCTTTCTTTGGCATGGTAAACATCTTCATGCTCACACCTAGAGCTGTGAATGCTCCCATCTGCTCTCCCCTCCCCTGGGGACTGTGAGTGCACACGTGGAGAGGCAACTGCACATCAGCATCCGGGCCCAGGCAAATCCAAACACACCTTGAAGGTCTAAATCAGAATGAATTCTTATCAAGAAACAAACGAGGTCTCTAGCATTGGTCCCCTGCAAGGTGCTAGGTCTCTAGCATTGGTCCTCTGGCTAAGGAGAATAATATTTTTAGAAAATATAATGGGTCCATTTTTATTTACTCCTTGATAATGTGAGAACTATTACAGGAATAAAATCCTTATGCAGTTGTAATCTAATTTCCAACATTAGCCTGAGCTTCTGTCTCCATAGAACCTTTTGAAGAGCCACGGGGGAAACAAAGTGGAGGGATCGGAGTCTGGCCTTCTCTCCTACTTTCTGCCCACAGTCCTGCCTGCAGACAGGCAGAGACGGCTGGCAACTGGCAACGTTCAGAGCTGAAGAGGGGACCAGGACTATTTCCAAAACAGTTAATCAAGAATGAATTGTGTTCATTTTTTTTTTTTTTAGGGTTTCACTTAAAAGTAACATGGGGCTAATTTGACATTTTCCTTTGGTGCTTTTTTTTTTTCTTCCTTGATCAACTCTACAATGACTGTGAGGAGACAGGAGAAAATCAGCCCAGAGCGACCCAAGGAGTAAAAGAGCTGTCAAACATTCTCAAGAGTGAGTCCCCATGAGAACACCCCAGAAGCCACGGGGTGACCTAATGGGCTGCGGTGGCAGCTATTTTACAGAGACATTGCCCGCCCTGGGCTATCACCCCGATAGCTGCTGCATAGTAATGGTGAAGTGACCTATGGATACACACTGCTCTGTGATCTCACCCCGCAGGTAAAGGTGCTTTCCGCTCACTGATGGATCATCTCCTGCCATTACTAGCTGTAACCTCCATTACTTGAGCTCCAGTGTCCTTACCTAAAAATGAGGTAAACAGTAGAGCTGCCTTTACAATGTCTGTGGGATGACATGGGGCTTACACACAAGGAGCCCCTTAGCGCTCAGGGCATGTTTCATGTTGAGAATGCTCCCAGATTTAGCCTGTTGTCTGCTTTTATAAATAAAGTTTTATTGGAACACAGCTGTGCCCATTCATTTGATATATTTTCTACAGCTGCTTCCTTACTATAGCAGCAGAGTCCAGTAGCTATGACAGGAACCTGCCCTTCCAGCTCTTTTTTGGGGGGGTGGGGGGAAGAACTTGCTCACGCCTCTGCTCCTATCTTTCTGCTCAGCTCTCCAGACTGAGGGTAAGCTGGAGGAGAGAGAGTGGTGGACATGATCTGTGATGAGGTCACAGGGAGTGGACATTCCTAGCACAGCACAACTCAGAAATACCATCTGCTCTCTTTGGTGGGGTGAAATTTTAATTTTTTTTCTTGATTTTGAAGAAGACAGAATCATGACAAAGCCTCACCAGTCATGATCATACAAACTCTGATGGGGTCCCTCCCCCTAATTCCTGACCTTCAAACAAAAAAAAAAAATTTAAGATGGCACAGATGTTATGACATGAATCAAGTGTGAAAGTCCCTAGAGGAAGGATCCAGCTAATGAGTTAGGAAACATGAGTTAGGAAATTGAATAAAATATAATGCTGGTTTTAATAAAAATGGGATTTGGATACAAGTACACAACTGTTTTTCCCTGAAAAAAATACCACATGGGAGATCTTTTATAGCCTTTTACATTCCACCACCATTATGATAATAATCTGGATCATGAAACTGTGTGTATTTAAAAAATATTATTGTATTTTATGTTACTTTGAAAAACGCCTAAAATCATGTGTTAAAAATGATGGGTTTTTTAAATTAATTATTACAGGAGCAAGTGACAGGAAATTTGTCAATGAAATAGCCTGTGAACACCAAAACAATAATGGGTCATTCAAGCAAAATCAAAAATGGGGGGGGGGGCTCAGATACCTCACACTGAAGGTCACTTTAAAATAGAGTGAAAACAATAAAGATAAGCATAGAGCTCAGGTGGCCATGAGCAGTAGACTCCGACTTTTACCTTGAAACTAGAGATGGATGAACTTTTCTCCGCTTCCTTCAATGTTTCATTCACCCAGTTGACAATAATGTCATCATTGACCTTCTGTCCTCCTCCAATTTCTTCAAGAATATTCAGCGTGTACCTGAACAAAATCAAGAATGATTTCTGGAGAAAAATTGCTAAGGAATTCAAAAACACAGAAAGTAGCCAGGCTAGAAATGTTCTTTTCTTCCTAGGTATGCCACAGAAGATAGCCTGGACACCATTACACTTGGGGGCGGGGGGGGGGGGCGGGAATAAAGTAAGATAACAACAACATTATTTCCTTTTAGAACAATTTGAAATGTAGTGTTGTGGTTATTATCACGAGATACAGAGCAAATAAGCACTGTCATTGCTCTGGGTAGGAAGGGAAAGCAGAAGACAGAGAGGGAAAGGAAAGCACAGCAAAGGATTCAAACCAGTGATGCTTTTCTTAAAGGAACCATAAAAATGGAGGCACCATTCAATGCTAGAAAAATCCCAGGGGCCAACATAATAAATGAAAAAATATAAAAGAGTTTCCTTTGCATATCATGAAAGTAGAAATATTAGGAACACACAGACCAAGTTAATCTCTAGCCTGAGCGTTAAGAATCACCTTCGATGCCTACTGTTCATGAGAATTGGGTTTTGGAGGGAAAAGATTAGAAAGATGCTTCAAGCTAGTGTGCTAGGTGCATAAATAGAATGACTTTCTTGCAGGGAAAGCAAGGAGAAAGTCAAGATGAGAAATGCTTAGCTGGGCCCAGCGATGGGACCAAACACTACGGAATTAATGGGTACAAGTGGGATAAGTCTCAGGTAGTTTTTCAAAATAATCCTATCCTGGAAAACAGCCCTAGTTTTGATCAATTCATAAAGATGAGGTTTCGTGGCATGACTGGTTTCTTGTTTCTTGCTAGCAAGCATGGGGGTTGAGTTATGGGCATTTACTGTGACAATTAAGCATTTCTGGTGACCCTGGTAAGAAAAGACAGGTTAGGACATGCTTCACCTCTCATGTCCATATACAGCCTCCTGGGACAAGTGGAGTCCCATCTCCTAGAGGCTCCATTCACCTCAGGGGGGAGAATTCTCACTTCCCTTTGTCAGGAGGCCCATACTGCTTTGTTGACAGGGTCGGGGCCAAGGGCAAAAAGACTATTTTGAGCTAAAAGCAATCAAAACCCAGCAGATCCAGGAAAAGCTCTTTACCTCCCTCCAGTCCTGCCGAAAAGGATTTAATCGAGGACCTGCTCCAGAAAGAGAGTTATCAACTTAGATAATTGCATTTTACCATGAACCAGGTATGGTAGACAGAGAGGAACCTAGCAAGGCCTGTGTGATCAAAGTCCTCTATGTCCCAAAGTCCTACGGCCCATGAGTGGCCCACCAAACATTGGTTTACCAAACATTTACTCTTCCACCTTTTGTGAATCACATTCCTTTCCTTCGAAGTCCCAGACCCTTACCCCGTCTCCTTAGTTCAGAACGATGTACAACTTCATTTTGCCTGACCATCTTTGGAATTTCCATGTCTGTGTGGATTCTTGTTCATACAAAATTAAATCTCATTTTCTCCTATTAATCTGTCTCATGAGAGTTTGATTCTTATGCTGGCTACAGGACCCTGAAAGGCAGTGGAAATTCTTCCTCCCTGAAAACACTCTCCAGTGGATAGAAGCTAGGGAAGAAACTGGGACACACAGGGTCACATCTACACAAAAGTCTATCTGGGCAAACACAAAAAGCCACCAAGGAACACAGAAACTTAGAGACATACAGTAAATCATGGAGGCAGCTGACTGCACTCAGGGGTTTCAGCAGGGCCCTCACGCTGGCCCAAAGTTCTGGTGAGTACAAAATCGCTCTCCCCAACCTCAAGGGAGGTATGGCAGGGAATCCTATACCCGCCTGTAAGTACGACAGGAAACACAAAGGGAAGAAAGGATGGAATTAGGTTGGAGTTACAACTCTGGACAGTCCACTCAGCACGCACTATAGATTCAAAATTTTAAACAAAAATCAATTTGGCCCATGTCTACCTAGGATTTTCCTTGTGAGACAATCACTCTGTCCCATCAACTATGTTTTGGGGCAACTGGAACCCCACACAGGATCCCAGTATCACTGGGTGTCTGCAAACTGCTGCGCTGAAAAACCGTCTGTCACAGTGCAAGGGTGTCATAAGCCCCAGCTTCAGCCAGTGCCTGATTCAACAAAAGAGGATTGATGAGGTCTGCACGTGCAGCGCTGGAGGGGCTGCGATTATTACTTGCTTGCTTTCCTGCTTTCCAATGCTTGTTTGATTTATTTAACATGTGGCCCGGAGGGACAAACCTCGCTGTTCTGTTTTGCAGGGACCTATCCCAAATTCACCATCCACAGCCTGTTTGATTTGGGGTGATCCTCATTTGCCTGCCTCTTTGTTCATCTGCCGGAGCTTGACATTGCTGTCTGCCTGTAGCTTACTTGTTTCTAGCTATTGTCTCCAAATTTATACACACACTATTTGCCAGCTTTCTAATCTGAGAGCGATTTCCAGGCTACTGAAGGGGAAAGGGAGGTTTCAGCACACATCTCTCATTTGTTCTTAGGGGGGAAAATGACATGCCATTTATTGTCCAGATAAATGACCAAATTAGCACATCTGATGAAATAATTCCAGCTAGAACTAACTCTAAATTTAATAGATCTGTTAATGTGTGGCCCACAGAGAAAAAAAAAAGTCCCTTCTGGTGGCATTTACACAATTATTAGTCATTCCATCGCCTTCAACAGTAATGTATTTCTCTGCCCACTTTTTCATATGCACCATTCTTGGGTAAGCACTGGTAAGAAATGGGACCTATTAGCCAGGTAGGGACGCAGCTACAGTGTAGACCTTATTGTATATATACAAGCCATAAAGTACAACATCAGGCCACATTTCTATAACCTATACAGAACGAAGATGATATTACAAGGTGATTTTCAGATATTATGAAATTCAAAATGGCATAGAGTTGGCTGTTTTTCTTTTTTTATCATTAAAACAGAAAATGCCAAAGATTATTTTATATTCAAACCCAAAAGTCAACTTAACCATGGCAACTAAAAAGATTTATTTTGTTTGTTAAAGCAATCAGTAGCTCATGTCATCTATTAAGGACTAAAACACACGTGAAAGACAATAGAGAATAGGTCATACATGTTTCTGAAAATATACTGGTAGGGCAGCCCTTAGGGACTGTCAGTGACATTCTAGATGGATGCAGCAAGATAGAAGATGGGGCTGAAGTTTCTTTAGCTCTGGAGTTTTCTGTGCCAGAAGAGCCTTGTGACACCTGCCTTTAAACTTCAAGGAGAGCCCAGTTCAGAGATGGGTAGTAGAGCGCTATACTTGGGGAAGCAAGTGTGAATCAGGTAGTGAACTCCATTATGATCACTTCTGACTGAACCACATCACCTGGAAACACTGACATACTTCCTTTGAGGACCATTATGAATGTCAGGATCCAGAGACAGTGGCTTGGGAATGAAACTTCTCTGAAGTCCTAGAGACACTACACACCTTGCCTTTGCCATTCACTTGTGAGACATCATGTAATGTGACATGTGGTTTCTGGAACTTCCTTCCAGGTAGAAAATGAATTAAATCACAGTATCATAGATTCTAATTAAGGGATGTAATATTTCTACCTGGTCAAGGCCACCAGTATAGAGGGAAAGAGTGAAGCATTTAAAAGTAAACTGTTTTATACTTAAAGATTTGCTATGTTAAATTTTTCCCAAGCTCGTGCTTTTGTACCAAAAATCATTTACTTTTCTTTTTTTTAAAGATTTTATTTACTTACTGATGAGAGAGGCAGAGACACAGGCAAAAGGAGAAGCAGGCTCTTTGCGGGGAGCCCAATGTGGGACTTGATCCCAGGACCCCAGGATCATGACCTGAGCCAAAGGCAGACGCTCAACCACTAAGCCACCCAGGTGCCCTCATTTACTTTTCTTATAATTTATTTTCTATTTATATATTACATTCTACCTTGTTCAAACGGCATTGCCACATGGCTTCCACATTGATCAAGTGTACATTTAATTCTAAAAGCTATCGAAAATTGTCTCGTGAAAAACTAGCAGGAAATTCTGCTTCTAGCTGTGGTGTGGTAATGGACCAGCCTTGCTTTTCTGCCTTAAACACCCAAACACAATGAAAAGCATATGAAACAATGTTGCTCAGACACTGGACAACAGTAAGTGTAAAACAGTGGTCCCTGAAAGAAGGAAAGCAAACCTGGTGGGCCCTAAGATTGTTCCAGCTTATTGCATGAAGAGTTTCCAGGCTGCAGTGCAGAGAGAGAGAGAGAGAGAGAACCCAGAGCATAGCAGTCCCCCTGAGTTGAGAGGACAGGATTGAGAACTCAAGGAATCGAAGGTATCTGAAATTTGTGGAGCAGAACACTAGAGAGGAGAGAGCTGCCTGGAAAGGAAAGCATCATCTAGAAAGAAAGCTCCAGACATCCTCAGAGGGTTTGCCCCAAGTCTTTAGCTGAGGTTTACTCAATGCATATGTGTGAGCAAAGCATCAGAGATTGTGACATACTCAGAGGAGATTATCTCAGTATGGAGAGACAAAATTAGCTCAAGACTAATTAAAGTTTTAAGTAAGTCTCAAAAGGATCAGACCATGCTTAAGTTACTTAACTGCATCCCAGGACAAAATTCAAGAATATTTAAAGGAATACAGAAATATCAGCACACAGGAAGATAGAATTCCACAATGCCTCACATACAATAAAAAATTAGTAGGCATTCAAAAGAAACAGTAAAATATGACCCATAATGAGGATAAAAATCAATTAATGGAAACAGACCCAGAAATAACAGGACTATAATTATGTTCTGTATGTTCAAGAAGGTAGAGGAAAGAGACACAGGAAATACTGAAGAGATTTGGCTCAAATTTTTATGCATGAAAACTGTGTCTGAGATAAAAAATATACACACTGGATGGGATTAATGCAAGATTAGATATTACAAAAGAGATTAGTGGATTTGAAGACAAATCAATAGATCCCAAATGAAACAGAAGGAGGAAAAATAAAACAGAGGGGGGAAATTGAATAGAGTGTCAGTGAACCTTGGGACAACCTCAGATGACCAAATATGTGTGAACCTGGAGTCCCCCCAAAACAAATGGGGGAGGGGAGTACAGGAAATATTTCTGGGGAAATAAAGACCAAAAGTTTTCCACATTTGATGAATACTACAAACCCTCAGACTCAAGAAGTTCAACAAACCTCAATCATGAGAAACACCAAGGCCCATTATAATCCACTTGCTTAAAACTAGTGATAAAGAGAAAAATCTAAAAGTAAGCCAGAGAACAACAGACATACTATACCATAGAACAAAGATAAGAATGACAACAGATGTATCATTGGAAACAATGTAAGCCAGAAGGCAAGGAACACTATCTTTAAAGAACTGAAAGAAAAAAAAAAACTATCAATCTAGAAGTCTACAGTTAGAGAAAATATCTTTCAAAAATGAAAATGAAATAGACTTTGTAGACATCTAGAAGCTGAAATGCTTCCTCACCAACAGATCTACACAATTTGAAATATTTCAGATCTGATATACATGGAAATCTGTAACTACACCATGGAAAGGTAAGTGCCAGAAATGGCAAACGGGTAAGTATAGCACATTTTCCCCTTGTTTGGAAATCCTCTTTAAAAGATAATTGTTATTTACAAAAATATAAAAATAAAAGGTTGGAAGAAGAGATGTCATGCTAAAATTAATCAAGAGAAAGCAAGAGTGGCTATACCAACATCAGAAAAAGTAGATTTCAAAGAAAATATTACCAGGAATAAAGAGGGTCAATGCCATAATGAAAACCGGGTGATTCATTAAGAGGACAAAACCATCTGAAATGTTTAGGAATCTAATAACAGAGTTTTACAATACCTGAAAGAATACTTAAAGACCTGCAAGGGAAATAAAAATAATGGGAAAATAACAAAACACTCCTCTGGTTTTAAGTTTAGCTTAAAATATCATCCTGCTGGTTTAAATCACATTCCTGACAATTTGCTGGTATTTTTCCAGGTCAGTAATATACTCAATAAAAAGTCATTTCCCTGAGTTACATTACCTTCTCATTAGCTGCCAAATCAAGGCCAGTGTGAGAGTGCGGTTTCCTTCATTGAGATCTTGTCCCCCGATGCCAACCAGGGAAAACTTAGCTTGATTCTTCCCCAACTCCACTGCGTAGTTACAATTCTCCAGCTGTCAATGAGCAAGAAGGAAAACATTGTAAATGCCATCATGTCTATCGTGAGAGATACCAGATAAGAGAACAAAATGAAATAAATATTGTCAGACCGAATGATCTCTTAAATCTTGCCTGATTCTAGGATTCTAAACTAGTCAAGGAATTTTCCGTCTTTTTTTTTTTTAAATAGAACCCTCACTTCCACCAAAAAAAAAAAAAAAAAAAAATTCACAGTGTTCTCTAAGTGCAAAACCAAAATGAATTCATTAGTATGAACACTGGCTCGGCTCTCTCGCACTACAGAGGGCCCTGCTCAGTGACCTGCCCATGATATTCCTAAAACAGCGGAATCATGGAGATTGTCATGGAAAATCTGGATTCTCCGTCCTACATGCACATGTGGGACAGGTATTCCCGCGGCTACACTTGGATCATTAAGAGCCAAAGAGACAAGGAATGGTGAGAAATATTTGTGCCAACCCATTGCTGCTTTTACAAAACAATGTGTTCCCACTGTGTTGACATTAGACAAACTATTTGTACAAGTCCAACCGTCAGTACAAGGCTCTAAATCTTTAGAAAATTAGAATAAGGATCCTGCTGGTGGAAAAGCAACCCTGCAGCTCTGCTTGCTCTAATTATCTTAATTAGAATTTTTACATCATAATGTTTTAAAGACATCCAACATGGAATTATAAATAAGTAATCAACTGAAGTAATGGACTCACTTTAATGAAACCGTTCAGGCTTCTGATTGCGGTGCCATAATTTAATCCCTGGATAAACATTACTTATCTAAGTTTGGCCTCCTAATAAAGTATTCACGGGGAGCTCTTGCAGGCTGGTGACTTCACCTGCCTGTTGGAACGTCTGGGGAGTCACTGTTTACCTTCTTCATGTTGCCCCCCAGTTTGGGGTATGGTGGTTTGTTTACTCTGTTCCAATCAACAGGGACTTTAATCTTTTCATAGAGCTGGAAGATGACCAGGGCATCTGCTAAGTCACTGAACAAAAAACAAACACAAGACAATTCTCAGAGAGCTGCCATTCATCAGGGGCCTACGGCGGGCAGGCGCTTCCTTGTACGTCAGCACGAGGAACATTTGCAACAACCCAACAGAACTGGTATTAGCAGCTCCATCTTTGGAGGTGAAGACACTGTGACTCAGAGAAATTGAAGAGACTTACTCCGGGTCTCTCCCAGGTGTGAGCACCTAGGGCCCAGGTGTGAGCACGCTGCCTCCGGGAAAAGAAATACGGCTCCAACATATGGCATAGGAGCAACGTCACCCTAAACTTCACATTTTTGTTTTGTGTTGCTTTGCCCGCTTAGGAGCAGATCACAGGCTTACAACATGTAGTAGATGTGTCTTGTTGCTGGGTCCTGATTTTGTCCTGAGCACAGGGCAAGGGTGATGTGCGGAAGTGCATTCCTCAGCTAAAGAGCCAACACCTGCAGCTCAGCGCTCCTCATCAAGATGCACACATTTGTGGAGGAAATCACACGCCGCAGAGATATTTGAAAGAAATCCTGGGGATCTTCCAAGGTCTTGGTGTCGCGCATCAAAGATGAGTCCCCACACGGCCTTACCTGTACAAGTGATTGACTCGAGGGTTAACGCCCAACGAATTCATCCAGTTCCTGAACGTCCGCTCCTCTCTGGTCTCACCTAAGTTAATGAAGACCCATTATCCTTCAGGCCTCTAGAAGATGTGCCTTTTTTTTTTCTTTAATGATCAAAGTTTATCTAAAGAGACTATCATAAAAACTGAATGCAAAATGAAAAAACTTAATTCAAAAACCTTAATGGATTTGGATGAGGATTGCTATTCTGGGTTCATTTATTTCTTTTTTATTCTTTCTTATTTTTTAAAAAAGATGTTATTTATTCATGACAGAGAGAGAGAGAGAGGTGGAGACACAGGCAGAGGGAGAAGCAGGCTCCCTGCAGGGAGCCCGACGTGGGACTCGATCCTGGAACCCCGGGATCATGACCTGAGCCAAAGGCACTCAACCACTTAGCCACCCAGGTGTCCCTCGTTTTTTCTATTCTATTCCAATTCAGCGAGTGTTTCTATAGCATCTATTCTCCTGTGTGGAGCAGCAGTTCAAAGCTGACCCTCAAAACCTTATATTCTTTCAGGAAAAACAAGACTTTCAGGCATCAAAGCACGATCACACAAGCCACAGGGCTACACTAGGAGATAAACATATTCACTATTTGAGATGAAATAGGAGAGAGAATAGTTTGGGAGTGGAGTTTAAGTTTCACTTTATAGGGCTAGTAAAATCTGGACAGGAAAGAGGAGAGGATTTGAGGCAATAGTAAGTGGAAGAGGAGACAGCATAAATAGGGACATAAAAGGAACGACAGGCAAGGTCTGTATTAAAACCATTAGGAATTCATTTTTCAGGCATCTGTGCAATAGTCGGAGATAAGGCTGTCTGATGTCTGGAACCAGAACTGGGGCCCTCTGAATGCCAACCACCAGATTTTGGTTGATATATTAGACAATGCCAGTCATTATAGGCTCTTTTTTTTATTACTATAATAAATTCTTGAGCAAGGCAGAGATATAATGAAGGCAGTACTGTGATGCCCCTGGCAGCAGTGTGCAAAATTACTGAAAGGCAATATGCATTTAAATTAAACAAGCAGAGGGGATGGCGTATGGCACGAGCACACAAGCACATTCAAATGCTTGATAAATGGAGGAACAGGCCCCGAAGACCTATTGAAATGGTTGGTGTATGATTTAATAAGAGTCCAGAAAGCAGTCAGGAAAAACAACAATCTAAAAGCCATTCTGCAGGAAGAGTTATTAGTATTTACTAATTCAGTAGATTTAGGGGTGAAGAAGAGGAAACTATCAAAGGGGACCCAGGGTTTTGGTGACTAAAGGAAAAAAAAGTGGTAGGATTACTGAAAATGGAGAGTTTCTAAAGGAGATGGGTGGGAGGCGGGTAGGGAGAGAGAGGGAGGAGAGATGATCAATTCTGCTTTGTATATGCTGAATTTCAAGTGATAGCAAAGGAACCAAATGGAGATGTTCTAGAGGCAGCTGGAAGTGGGTGATTAGAGGGCTTGATGTATATACTTGGTAGTCAACAAAATGCCTGGACCCCTGGCCACAATTTATCAAACAATACAAATGAGGCCCTGTTGGAATACGGATTGATTTTGCCTTCTAGCTCGGGTAAAGCATTGCAGGGGGGGATAAAAAAATCAATACTTTAAATCTGGATTTCCTTTCTTTGGTGATATTCATTGAATATTAGTTCCATCTTGATTTTTTTTTGTCCCAATATTGAGACTAATTTGTGGTGGAAAAAAGAAGAACCTGACTATAGCTACATGCTTTTCATTCTATCTCAGGGCACCTAATCTCCAAAATACAACGCCCAGGGATTCTGCGTCTAAACTTTACTCAGCTCTCCACCCCCCCTCCCTAATTCCAATCAAAGAAACAAGACAAAAACCAAAACCTCACTAATAAGCCCCTCTTAGCATTAAATTGAACACTTTTAGATGATGAGTGGCTGCAATCTCTTGCAGCGAGGCATGCACACTGCATCCATTAAGTACATAAATTAGGTTTTTGGAACTCAGGGTTTATTTCATCTGATAATTAAATGCATTCCTTCCCTAAAACATTTAATTCTGATAATGGATGAAGCTTATGTATAATGGATGTGATATAATGGTATTTGATTATTCCTGCCTGGCTGTAATTGACTTGATTAATCTATTTATTCTCTTTGTTATATGCCAGGGAATTGATGACCTGTTTGCAAATCTTCCCCAACATGGAAGGGGTTGATATTTGCTTAGCAGGTAATTTCGAGCGGCCCTTGAATTCAAATTGTGAATGCTCTTCCGAACCTCTGAGCAAGAGGTTTCCAGTTACCTTCAAGAGCTCCCCAGTCGATGTCCTGGTTCTCTGGTTTGTGCAGGGCAGGGTATCTATTAAAGAGGTTGGCAATGAAAGCCAAGTTCAGCTTGGGGTTCCCTCGGACGACATCTGTGGCTGTGACAAACTGCCGGCAGCCCAGCCTCTCCGCCTGCTGCAACATGCACTCTGCTCTCTGGATGTCATCCTTCTCCTGCAACGAGAGAGGACACGTCAAGGTTGGGGCAAGGCTGTCCCTGCACAGAGGAGGCAGGAGCAACATGAAGAAGAAATGGGAAACCTACTGAAACCCTCAGTGTCTAACCTCCGAGAGGCACTTAATCGCCACATATGATTTACTTATATTTGCCTGAACTGAAATCAGCAAGTTACAAGGGCCAAATGTCCCAGAAATTGAGAAATTGAGTCTCTCCTCTCTGTACAGAGCCATGTCGGATGAATGCTTGGTTGTCCTGTTTTTAAAGAGATTCAGTAGATCCTATAATCTTATCATTTCAGTTGGTCTTAATTGTTTTCAACGATGAAGCTACTGTCATAAGTAATACTCCCTTTTTTCCAGTTCATCGAAGATATTTACACCGATCAGTAGAGACCCTCTGATTGGTATAGCCACTCCTCTCACACGGAGTTGGTACACTTGGGACTCAAACAAAATAAATGTTAGTCCAGCTGCCTAGTGCAATTTGGCCTCTGCAGACTTCAGATTGAGGACTTCGTATGTTGGAAGGTGATTCAAATAGTTCTAGAGAACCTCTAGTCCTTTGTAGGTAGGCTTTTAGTAGGAGATAAAGTTTTGTGTGGTCCACTGTTTTCAAAACTCTTTTAGGAGTCTATGAAGCCACCGATTTTCAGAAAACAGAACTTTAAATCAATTTATTAATATAAATAATATATATTATAATATATAATATATTGTATATAATATTACTAATGTATAATATTAATATATTGATATAATGCTTTACTAGATGACACTGCACATTTCACAGACTTGTCACTCAGGAATGAGTTGACTTTAACATTAGCTTATTGGTTTTAACTCTAATGATACCATGTGAGACATAAGCAAGGAGAAAGCAACTCCTCCAGGTCAGTATTAAAGAGGTGGCAAAACCGGTTTCATCATCCAGATCCATGCTGGGGCTGTTTTTAAGAACTCTTAAACCAGACATTTTTAAGAACTCCACACAACCTGCACCCAGTCATTTTTGCCTATTACCCCCCCAATGATGTAGTGGGGTAGGGTTGTGGCTGGGTGGATGTTGGAGGCATCCTGGGTTTAAATCCTTTCTATGCCATGTACTGGCTCTGTGGCCATGAGAGCATCATTAGCCTTTCTGACCTTCAGCTTCCTCAAGTGCAAAACAGTTATTAACACTTAGCTTAGTGATGTTTGCAAGGCTTAGAGGCAGTGTATGCAGCGTGCCTGCCATAGTACCTGGTACATAGCACCAGCAGGTGGGGTTGTCCCCTTGTTAGTACCAGAGGGAAAGGATCCCAGCCTTGGATCAAATAACTTCCAATAACCCATCATATGATCTTGGACTTATTAATTAATCCATTTAAGATTCAGTTTTTTCATTGCTAAAGTGAGAATCTCTTTGTGTAAGCATCCCATTGATTTCCGGAAATAAGACTCAGGTATCCAAAAATGAACATCATAAGTACCTCTTGGTGTCGTTGAGTCTATTGAATGGTGACACGTACGGAAGTTTTGTTGAAATGTGGTCCGCCGTTTTCAAGACTCTTTTGAGAGTCTATGAAACCGCCAATTTTCAGAAAACAGAACTTTAAATTGATTGATTTATTAATATAATGCTTTACTAGATGACCCTGCACGTTACCCATTTCACGGACTTGTCACTCAGGGATGAGTTGACATTAACATCAGCTCATTGGAGGCATTTGAGCAAGGTGTGTGGCATTTGAGCGGTTTTAGTTTCTTTCCTTCCTTAATATCTATTTTCAGATGCAATTTCCCACAGTTATCACCCAAAACCATTAACAGTTGTTAACAGTTTTACCAGGGCTTTCGGCAGAGGAGTGGACTCACAGAAGCCCAGAGTCAGGGTCATGCGGGGCCATGGAACTGCCAACACAAAGGCAGAGTCACGTTCTCTAAACACAACTTGAGACATGGCCTTACCCTTAGTCCTGACATGTCAATAACAACAGCAGGAATACCTTCTTCATCTCCTTTTGGTGCCACCTGTTCAAGCAGGTGGTAATAAGCTTTTGAGTCCTGTGAGAAATTAAGAAATTACAATTTCAAAATAGCACAGCTAATTACATACTTAGCACGGCATTAATTTCCCCAAAGCAAACATATTATATTTCTTTTTTGACTGTCATTCAAAAATGCAACTTAATTAACAAAGCTGGAAGCACTCACTAATTTGGATTTTCTATTTCTCTGCTTACATATCATATCGGACTTTCTTTTTAAAAGGAGTATAACAAATACAGGATATACACAAATACAGGCTATAGAAGCTAATGCTATTCTCTTGTTCTTAGGGAAGAAAAATTACTTATGCAAAGCTATTAAATTGTATACAGGAAAAAATATATATACCTTTATATTGCTGTAGAAGTCAGTCAGCTAAGGTTTAATTAAAAAAAAAGTGACAGAAAAAGGAAGGAAGCAGAAGTTTAAAGCCGAGTTTAAAAACACAGTTAAATGGACAATCAGCAAAAGAAAAATAAGGATTTCAAAGACAGAAGGTTTGAAGCATTAACAAGCAGTCTTTATGTAAAGGAGATATTAAGATGACAAGCACACTTAATATTTATCAAGGCGGTGGGGGAAAAAATGGTTAAATTTGGTGATAGCAGATTGGATACAGATATCCAGCCTCACGTTTCCCGAGATTTCCAAATACGCTTACTCATGAAAAGCATCCTCAGAGTCCTAGTCTTCAAATTACAAATCCGTGTTCATTCAGTAAAAGCATGCAAATATTCAGGTCGTTTATTTAAATCCTTTTAAAAGCATCCTAACGTCTCTTAAAGGCTGAAAAATCAGCTTGTGGCTCTTTTTAAGACTGAATGGGGCCCCGGGGGTGGGGGAACGGGAGGGCATGGGGGTGCTCCCCACTGGTGACGTGAGAGACACTGGAACAAGAGAAAGCCAGCCACTGAGGCTGCACCTGGGGAAACCGGTTTTCATCTGCCCCCCCCCCCTTCTCTTCCTGGTCCCTGCAGCTATTTTGAAACCAGTGAAAGTTCCCCGCAGGTGTTGGGCACAAACAAGATCTGCCTCCGGGTATCATATCTGCTTGACTTTGTTAGGGCTCCTCTCTTTTCATCTGACCCTAAAAAGCCTTTCCCACTCACCCCAGGGTGGGTGCTCTCCCCACCTCCGCTAACCTGTGTGACTTAAGGGCACCTCCCAAAGCTGCCAGATGCTCAGAGGCAGGAGGCAGCTGCCCCCACCTACTGTCAGGCCCGACCCCCGTGTGTGCTCAGCGTGCCAGCTCCTACGGTTATTATGTAAGAAGGCAGCTTTTTGGTGATGAGAAATCAGATAAATTTATGGCTACGATGAAGCAGCCTAATTTTGGCTGAAAAAGCTGGAAAATTTTGGCTGAAAACATGCAGAGCTTAACTGCTGAGCACAAAGGAGGACCACCTCGCTGCCCAGTTCCTGTTAAATCCCCATTTGGTTGCGGGTGCTGGGCTATCAATAACCGGTGGAAGCTAGAAAAATGCATTTGGCATTATCAGCTTAGGTGCTCAGGAATGGGGGACTTTCCATCTAGAAGCTTCCATCTAACGAGCACCATGCACGGCAGGCAGCCATTGAATCCACAGCAGGAGGGAGCTGTCACCCAAAGGAATATGTAAGGCCTGGGTGACTCGTTGGGGAGTCACATGACCTCTCCTCTGACTCTCTCTCTTTGGAGAAGGTTTCTTTAACTTTTCAGAAAGCGGAGCCTGAAATGTTCTTCTCCTGCTGCACCCCCCAGCTTGCATGCTGCTCCGAAGCTCTCTGCCTCTCGGCCCACCTGCCCTCCTTGCCAACAGCTCTTTCACCTCGACATGAAACTATTCACAGACTGGAAAACCACAGGGCATGCTTCCCTCCGCCTTTCCCCCTTTGCATCTCTGCTGTAGGGCCGCCTGCCCCCCTCTACATGCCCTGGGGGACATTTCCATTGCTGATGGTTTCCAGAATCATCATCTCTCAAAAACCTCTCTGGCGGGATGCCTGGGTGACTCAGCAGTTGAGCAGTTGAGCGTCTGCCTTGGGCTCAGGGTGTGACCCTAGGGTCCCAGGATCAAGTCCCGCATCGAGCTCCCTGCGGGGAGCCTGCTTCTCCCTCTGACTGTGTCTCTGCCTCTCTCTCTCTCTGTGTGTCTCTCACGGATAAATAAATTAAACATCTTACACAAAATAAAACACCTCTGGCTTCTACAAATGGAAACCTTTCAAGAAATTCCGAGGTTATTTGAGAGAGGTGGTATGGAGGCTGAGTGCTGGATTTGAATCCTGACCCCATTCCCTAGCTATGTGAATGGGAACAAATTACATGAATTCTCTTTTAACACCAGTTTCCTTATCTGGAAAAGGAGGAAATGATCATCTTCGTCTCAAAGGCCTGTTGTGAGGATTAAATCAGCCAGTACACGTATAAGCAGGCAGGACGATGCCTGGTACGCAGCAGACCCCCGGGTTGGTGTTCTTTGTGTAAGTAGAAGTCTAATCCTCACTGAATTTTGTTAAAAGATTCCCATCTGATGTGCCCGGAAATTTGATAGAATCAGGACCTCACCTCCCTACGTAGACTCTCTGCCTTGTAAAGGTCTTACCTTTCGTCTTACCCCTTGCTCTTTCCCCCTCCTCTGCTGACACTGTCACTCCAGGTGTGTGTAGGGGACCCTTCTGCCCCCGACAATGCCGCTGTGGTCCCTGGGACTCCAGACAGATGTGCGTGAGAGGATAGAGCGGCTGCCACAGCACCAGCCACCTTGAACAGAGCTCTAGAGCTTGTCCTCTCTCCCTGAGCATCCCAGGTCCCCTTCTCTGCTGCAGTTGGGCCTGTCCCCACTGCGCTCCTACCTTGATGTCAGTACTGAAGTTGTTGATTTTGTTGCAGCCTGCGTTCTCCAGGTGGTAGTTAGCCCACCGCAGCAGCAGCTCCTCGGGGGACAGTTTCATCAGGTCCTCCAGACTCTCCCCTTCCCTCAGAAGGGCGATCAGAGCTGGGGAAGGACAAAGGTGAAGAAAGATAAATACCAGGGATCTGGGCAGGGTGCTGGAGCTCCACAGGAGACCTGACAGGGCAATGCCACTTCTCCGGGCTGGGGGCACTTAGGGCCCTTCCAGCGGAATAAACACTTTATTATCATTCCCTGAAAAGAAAGGCAAGGTGCTGCGAGCTTAGTTACTAGCCTCACTTTTTCAGGTGGGGGAGACAAGTCACCGGTGAATCTCGGTGCTTTGCCTGAGAACCGTGCAGAAGCCACAGAAGAAACCGGGACTATCGGGCTCAGAATGCGCCACCGGGCCTGTCAGCCCACATTCCATCCTATGACAACAGTTTTGGTTTTAAGAGATCAATTTTGTAACGAGCACAACTGTCTCCTTGCCTATTTCCTTAGGTGATTTTACGTTTTGAATGCTTACTTGCATAAGTATAGCATCTCAGGAGGTGTGGTCAACCCTTTCCTCCGTTCTTCCCAGCTGAATAACCACGGTTTGCTCAGCTAGAAGGTTTATTTTATTTTTTAAAAAAATTTTTTTCTTTTTATTTATGATAGTCACACACACACACACACACACACACAGAGAGAGAGAGGCAGAGACACAAGGAGAGGGAGAAGCAGGCCCCATGCACCGGGAGCCTGATGTGGGATTCGATTCCGGGTCTCCAGGATCGCGCCCTGGGCCAAAGGCAGGCACCAAACCGCTGCGCCACCCAGGGATCCCTAGAAGGTTTAAATTGAGTTGGAGGTCGTCATTTGTCGGTCAATAGTTTGTTTCTCGTGGGTTCTAAGTTTCCTGTTTGCTTTTTCTCCCCTGTATTATGTTTGACCCATACCGGTTTCAAAACAGCAACCCAGGATTCTTCGCTGGTTATGGTGATTTGGGGATATAAATTTAGACGTACATATAACTAAAGATTAGAGCTTGGCTACAGATTTCACGTTAGTGGGCTCTCTACTGGAAACAAAAAGGTTAACTGTTTTTTTTTTTTTTGTATGATTCTTATGGCGATGTCCTACTTTTGTCTCAACAATGGGGCTGTGCTTGTTTAAATGTAGATAGGATGTGGACAGCAGACAGAGTTCGACTGACAGCTCCAATACTTAGTTGAGAGCTTTGAAACCCTACACGTAATCTTCCACAGTCTTGGTAAATAGACCAACTTTCTCCTGACCTGGTGCCATCCCTTCGGTATATGAACATGAACCACTTCATAAAATACAAGTTCAAAGGAGTCTACTTGTTACAAAGCATCCAGAGGCAAAGTGAGCCCAGAAAGGCTCTTGAGGTTGGATCCCAGACAGCCAGACGGAGCTCTAGGTTCTAAACAATCATTGCGATTAGTCTGTGGTCATAAAAAGCTTTTTGCTCTGTCATTTTAAAAAGTCTGGCTGGTGTGGATGGAAACTCTTACGTTAATGTAAACAGATTCGATGTAACTGCAATTTGCAAAAATTGAGGATTCTGAGCTTGACTATTCCTGACATCTTCCTCCCACGGCCCCCAACACATGCATTAATAAAAAACCATGCCATTGGGGCACCTGCGGGGCTCAGCGGTTGAGCGTCTGCCTTTGGCTCAGGGCATGATCCCAGAGTCCCAGGATCGAGTCCCACGTCAGGCTCCCCACAAGGAGCCTGCTTCTCCCTCTGCCTGTGTCTCTGCCTCTCTGTGTGTGTCTCTCGTGAATAAATAAATAAAATCTTAAAAAAAAAAAACCCATGCCATTAATCAACATTTGCAGCTTTGTTCAGACCTTCATTTCTGCTGAGTTCAATGTCAGCAAACAATCCAATCTTGATGACTTGCCACAAAAGTCCCAGGACCAGGTAAGGCTTCCCCTCCTTCAAGTCCTCAGCCCCGATGTTAACCACGTGGCAGCCAATGGCTGAGGCCGAGTTCAGAGCCAGGTTCAGATTCTCCTGAGGGAGAGAAAGGGTACAAACGTTGTTTTTGACTTCGTAGATGTCAAAGGATGATTACTGGTTGACAACAAGGCTTTGCTTCTGGAAAGCTCACAGGTCTAGAGGCATGGTCTTTGCTAAATTTTGACAAGTGCAAGAAAAAAAAATCTGGGAACCCAGATACTGGGCTTAGGTGGTGCCTGTTGGATCAAATGGGCACCCTGAGTTGGAAGCTCGTCCTGGCCCAGATGAAACAAATGAGTCTCACACCTTTCCTTCCATTCTGCTCTGTGATGGAGCCTACACCACTCAACATCCCCACAGGCCACACATACAGGGGTACCTTTGAGGGTTGTCATTGTCTTGTCACTGGCCATCATTAATAACACAACTGTCGATATAAATCAAGCTCATGAAAGACAGTGTTTTGACTTTCAGATCAGGTATTAAGGGAATGTCATTAGGGCAACGACAAAGGCACAAATCAAATTCCTGGAAAGGATACTAAGACAATTTAATGAGCATCCGTAATATCTGGGGACCGTAAGTCTACACACCCCTACACGCACACACACATGCACAGACGTAGAGACTACATGTTCTTATAATTAACAGTGTATATAATGCAACTCATGGGGTTGGGATAGAATCAATGACATTTTCAGTCTGGAATCTGTACACTATTCTTGGGTCCACAAAGAAGATATCAGAGGCAGAGATATATAGAAGTTGTCTTTAGGGCAAGTTAGAAACACAACACAGGCCACCAGTGATTCGGAAAGGGGACTACCAGAAAAGTGGGGTTTTGCCCTAGTGGAGAGCTCAAATGACAAATGGAAAATATCGTTTCTGCTTATGGCCAATATTAAAATTTAACATCAAGATTAAATTTAACAGGGATCCCTGGGTGGCGCAGCGGTTTAGCGCCTGCCTTTGGCCCAGGGCGCGATCCTGGAGACCCGGGATCGAATCCCACGTCGGGCTCCCGGTGCATGGAGCCTGCTTCTCCCTCTGCCTATGTCTCTGCCTCTCTCTCTCTCTCTCTGTGACTATCATAAATAAATAAAAATTTAAAAAAAAAAAAAAGATTAAATTTAACATAAAGCGCATTCATGTATGTTTAATCATTGTTCCCACTTCCATTTTAAAGGTACACAGCGCTGCTTACAATCGAGCAGCGTGACATATTGTTCGTGATTTAAGCAGTGAGACATGCTTCCTGAGTAAGAGAGTTAATAGTAACGTCGAAACACTGGAATATAACGTAGAAATACAGCTTACTTACTACTGTTTAGTCTTCCAGTTAATCAACATATTGAAGGCCTAAAACCAAGTTATATTTATCGCACTGGTGGCTGTGGCCAATGCCACTATGAGGCTGCCAGAGCAATTCCCGTTTCTCACCCCCCCCCTCAATTCTTAGAAAGGCTTATCTTTTCAGCTAAAATGCTGCATATTTGGCATTGGCTCAAAGATCAATTGCTAGGGAAAGTTGAGTTAAAACTTTAGCCAATGTGAATTTTATTCCCAGGTGGCCAAAACAAAGAATGGGGCCCAACTACTAACTCCCCACCAACATCCCCCTCCCCAGTTCCCTGTTATATGAATAAAAGATAAAACAAAAGTGTCTCCCTCTATCCCCACTAGTCATGATGAATCACTGGCCGCAGAGCTGAGTTTGGGAATAATGCCCGAACACCTGGAACAGGCCGGCTCTGCAGTTCCAGGGCTCCTGCATCCCAAGCACAACCTTATAGTTTGATAACAGAGAGAGAAAGCATACCTGGATGGTGAAGGGGGTGAGTTTCTTTTTGTTGATGGTTCTTTCATCAATTGTGTCTGGCACAGATAGGTTGATCATTTTACTGAAAAAGAAGCAAGTGAATTAAGGAAAGCTGGCCTCTGAATAACAGAGTCCAGTGACATTGAATTTAAATTCTAGCAATACCATAAGCAAATAAGATGGCAATTTAATCTGTGTGATCCAGGGTTTTGAAGCAAGATCAGTTATGCAATTCTGATTAGATTCAAACTCTCTATGGGAAAGGTTAATGTTCCTGAAGTCATACTAATAAATCGAGGCAGGAAATAAAGACCCTACTTTATTCATGTACCTGAAAAGGTGCCAAATCATCCTGGTTTCCTGAGCATATTAGGAAATTCTGGGTAGAGGGGATCCCTGGGTGGCTCAGTGGTTTAGCACCGCTTTCTGCCCCTGCCTTCTGCCCAGGGTGTGATCCTGGAGACATGGGATCGAGTCCCACATCAGGCTCCGGCATGGAGCCTGCTTCTCCCTCTGGCTGTGTCTCTGCCTCTCTCTCTCTCTCTGTGTGTGTTTCTCATGAATGAATAAATAAAATAAATATATATATATATATATATATATATATATATATAAGGAAATTCTGGGTAGAAAGCCAAGGCACATCCTTCATGAGTACGTCACTTTCTCAGCTGTGAAAAATTGTCCCCACCGTAGAAGTGACTACTTGTACACTTCTGAGCTTATGCAATGTCTACGTTTCTATCTGACTCCTGGTGGAACTCTATACTTTCAACTAAGTGGATGCTAAAATGTTTTATATCTTGCCATACTCACTGTTGTATCAGAACTTGAGAAATTTCACCCACTTAGGTGTCTAATACATTTACCAGATGTCTAAAGTAAGCTATTATTATCTATGAAGAACTGCTTTTACTCATTTGGCATTCGTTTGACCTCCAATGGGGCACAGACAATAAATTTCCTCAGGTCACCTCCATCTTATTTAAAGAAAGGAAGTTGAAAAAGCAAATCCAAAGGAACAATAACAAACTCAAAGAACAGTAAACTCGACTGTGGCTATTTGTTCTTATGAGAAGTCGGCATTAACATTTCTTCCTCACAGTTCTTAAGCAACTGCCTTTTCTGTGGTGTTCTTTAAAGATGCGTTTCCATACCTCTGTCATGTGTGTGCATACATATATTTCAATAAAAGATGCTTTATTGCAATTTAGGCAAAACAAACTCATAAATCATGATTTGAAAAAGCTGAAACTGTTGGTGATCTAGAAGCCCACCACTGGGAGATGATGGGAGGCAGGGGTGACTTTAGAACATGCGTAGTAACCTTGCTCTTGAAAAGCTTATTGTGCAATTATAGAGACAAAATATATGGATATGAAAAGTTACATTATAATGTCCCCCAAAGGACTGCAAATATGTGCTTTAAGAATCCGGTGAAGGGAGAGACCACTGAAGGAGTGGAATAGACCAGAAACCTTTAGTGTAAATGGATTTCTATAGGAGGAGAGGATGCGGAACGGTGTTCTCAAAAAGAAAAATAAAAGGCAAAGCCACAGCTGCAGTTAGAAGCAGGATGTGTATGGGGAAGTGTTAAGTCTGGTTGCTGGTACATTCAGTTACTAATGCAGCCACTCACTCAGTACCCTGGGCGGGGGGGTACCTGAGTCATAGGTGTCTCGGGAGGTAAAGCTAGAAGGAGACTGAGGAAAGATGATGGAGTGTGTGGGATGCCAACCTAGGGAATTAGGACTTGATCCCGTAGGCTATATTTTTTATGTCTTTTTTTTTTTGGCAGTTGAAAGTTTTTAAAATGAAATCTCAGGGTGAACTCTAATAAATAAAATACTAGACAGCAGAATTGTTCTGCTCAGAGCAGGGGAGGGGGGTTCTAAGTCTCTCGTCTACCCAGCTTCCCCTTCAACTCCTGTGCCCACCTGAGATTGGGCATTTCAAGCCTCTTCACCAATGCCATGCCTCACAATGGCATTAGAAGCCACTAAAGCCAGAGCCACCGAAGCATTTCAAAGACACCATCATGACCATCTGTGTGTAGAGGTCTTCTGCAGACAAAAACATTCCTCCTTTCCTAGGTGTCCTCAGCATTGGTATGTACTACTCAAACGTCCCTTTACTTAAGGATTTGCATTGGATTTCTTCAATTGTCATGCTGCTATTATCAATCTATCTATTTTCATGGTAGGTCATGTTCAGATGAAGCCAAATGGCATATAGTCCAAAAATAATTGCTTTAGGCCTTCTATTATTGCATCTCTATCTGTATTTGTCTCTATGTTGTGCATCCCTCTCCTCCAACTAAGAAATACTAGTTTTACATTTCTCATTATAAGTTGCTTTTGAAATTAGTTTGCTTTCCAAGGATCTGCCAAGTACAAGTCCAGAAAGCATTTCAGATCCAGCTGAGCACCAAAAGGAAGTTGGCCTAGGATAATACAATGAATTTTTAGTATTCCAGAAAATTCCAGGGAAACCTTTGGAAACCAAGGAGGAAGTGTTATTTACCAAAGGACAATGCCATCCCCCACAGCACTGAAGAGATCATTTGTGTTTGGATTCATTGGAATAACATGTCGACAGTCGGGGTCATTTTCCAGGGCTTTGTTTATCCAGTTGACAAAAGCATACTTCTCTTCCTCTGCAAGTAAATGATAAAAATGACTTATCTGCAAAATGAAAATCTGACATAAACCGAATTATTTATTTTTATATTTTTTTCATAAACCGAATTATACACATAGATCTCAGATTGTCATGCCCAGGAGAGACATTGAGATATGATCTGGTCCCTTAGCCTATCATCTCACATTTTTTGACATTAAAAAAATATCAGGTGACTTGGGGAATAGGCACAGAATCTCTGTTCACTCCAGGTCATAAAATATATGCCAGGCATATTTAGAAGAGAGAGAGAGAGAGAGATCATATGTAACTATCACATATAAACATATATAAATAATATAAATAAATAAATAAATAAATAATAAAGATATTTTTATTTATTTTTAGATATAATTTCTATCTGAAGATGATCTAATGCTAAGGATAAAACTCAGGCTGCCTCTAGCCCAGCCAATTTAAATGTGGGATGATCACAGATAATCCCCTGTAATATCTCTGAGTTTCTTGATACAATTATAATGAAATTGCTATGAAAAAAAATCTTTTGTGATATAATCTTTCTTTCCTATGAATAAAGCTGCCAGAAATTGATTTTGGAAGTTTTAATAAAACCTCAAGTTGGGACACCTGGGTGGCTCAGCGGTTGAGCATCTGCCGTCGGCCCACGTTATGATCCTGGGGTCCCAGGATCGAGTCCTGCATCAGGCTCCTTGCATGGAGCCTGCTTCTCCCCTGCCTGTGTCTCTGCCTCTCTCTGTGTGTCTCTCATGAATAATCAAATAAAAATCTTTTAAAAAAACACAAGAAAACCCTCAAGTTATGCCTTACAGCCCGGCACAGCGTGTCACTGAAAGCCATAGGGTCCCCTGAGAAGAATCTTGAGTCACAAAAGTTTGAGAAGCACTGTGTAGCACCTCACTGCCTTGAAGATTCATAATGCCTATTTATATAATTTCTGGCTTTAAGCGTAAGAGGTCAAACATTGTGTTCACAATTTACCGACCATACTCAACCATGGACTTACTTTTCAGATCAGCTAATGTTTTGAAGAACTCAGCTTGGGATTTGCTGGATCACCACCCTGTCTGAACTTTTAATTTCCCTTAAGGCTGTTGGACGGCAGCCTTCAGAAGAAATATACAACTTCCTTCCAAATCAGTGAAAATACAATTTTTTTTTTGACTAGGCTTTGAGAAGAATCATGAAGTTTGGAGGAAATAGAAGCCCGAGTAGTTCGTTTTTTCCGTAAGATTCACAAAAGAGTTCTTGCAGCCTTAATGTATTTTTTAAATACTACTGAGATTTATCCAGTGTTGAGATTTATCCAGTGTTGGACTCCGAATTAGGATCAGAATTGGTGAATAAACTCATGTTGGCTTCTGTCTTGGTTTGTCTTAGGTGTAAACACCAGGTTTAGAATCTATAACCCCAGAAGGTACAGATTCTTTCCATATGGCCCCCTTTCCTACTACCACCCGCAGGCTCTCCTCATGCCAGCAGCCGCCCCACTTCCACTCCACGCCCACGGGGACCGCCTACCTGAATAGGAGTGCTGGGTGCCGACACTGGACTGCTCCGACGTACCGCCGATCGCACAGATCCCTTCCTTCTTATTGATTGCCTTTCTAAAGGTCTTGGCAACCTCTGTGCTTTTTAGGCCATGAAAAACCTGCAGAAACGTAGTGTACTTTTAAGAAACCCAATCAAGTGATCAAGAAAACCACAAAGGGGGGAATACGTGATGTTGAAGCAAGGAGGGTGGCAACATATTTCTGGATTTTTTTTTTTCAAATTCCAAGTTTCAGATGCATCTCCTTGTATCTGCATCGTACTCACCTTGATAAACTCATCAAAGCTGATCCTCCCATCCTGGTCCAGATCACCTGTAGCCATCAGGTTTTCTGCGATTTCTCTCACTCTGTACCCAGGCAGAGGCAAGCAAGCAGCCTTGAACAGGTCGTTCAACTCATTGCAGCTGATGTACCCATTGCCATCGGTATCTGCAAGGCAAGGACGTGCTGACCCAACGCAGGTAATGGGATGAGGAGGTGAAGGCAGGCGAGATGGGAGGGGAGTGCGCGGGAGAGGCAGTCATTCAGGGGTCAGAGCCTGACCCCATGCAAGAGCCAGGGTCTCACGGGAGGCCCGTGTCTATGAGAGATGGGCATCGGTGTCGCTCCCAACCGCCGTGAGTCATCATGTCACGACACAGGTCCTGGAAGCAGAATCTGAAGGGACTTTGATAGGAACAGATGGGAAAATAAGTCACAAGCTTAGAGCTACAAAGAAAAACCAGGAAATCAAAGAAAGCAGGCAAGACAAAAAATATGAGAAGAGCTGCAGGTGTGAAAGGGTCCAGGCCAGGTTTTGATAGAGAAAGAACTAATTTTCTTTAAATGGACCTTTCAAAATTAAGTCCCCCCGGCTCCTCTGGCCAATGCCACCGTATTCCTTTCACTTGCCCTATTTTACTTATGTTACCATTTCATCGAATCTGTCCCGAAGCTACTCAGTCAAGAGGAGAAGTGTGTGGCTTGAGCCGCCCGGTGTACTCACCCACTTTGGCAAAAGCTTCTCTGAGCTCCATCATTTCTTCATCGGACACTGATCCTCTGGCCATTTTTATTGCTTTAGGCAACAGATCTGCAGAAGCAAAAGAATATAAGGAATAACTTTTGTGCATCTTAATTCTTTTTTTTTAAGTTTGTTTATTTATTCCTGAGAGACACAGAGAGAGGGGCAGAGACACAGGCAGAGGGAGAAGCAGGCTCCCCGGGAGGACCCCACTGCGGGACTCGATCCCAGGACCCCGGGATTGCGACCTGAGCCAAAGGCAGATGCTCCACCACTGAGCCACCTAGATGCCCCCGTGCATCTTAATTCCTAAACCACCACATTAAGCAGCAATCCTCATTTATTAAATGAAGAAAGAACCCTCTGCCTCCCTCATGATTTCTAACTACCTTTCCAACATGTAAGAAATAGCCTTATTCTTAACTGTCCATGTGGTGGTCTCCAGTGGGCTCTCACAGATGGCTCCTCACCCCAGGAGCCTCACTCCAGGAGCTGATTTCTCTCCCCTTGAATCTGAGCTGATCCTGTATCTGCTTTGACCACCGAGAAGGCAGCAGAAGCCATGTCTGAGACTGGAAACTCCTGGCTCCTTTTGGGATGCTCATTCTTAGGATGCGCCCTCTTAGGAACCCAGTTCCATTCTGCAAGACGTCCAAGCCACATGAAGAAGCCAATGAAAGATTCTCGTCTGCCTCTGCACGGGGCGTGGAGAGAGCGGTGGGTGGCATGTTGTAGGCCACCCAAGGCCCATGAAAAAGCCAATGACTGGGTGCTCTGGTTAACAGTCCCTCGGCTGGGCCCCCAGCTGGCAGCCAGCATCAATTGCCATGCTCCAGGGCAGGCCGCGTTGGATGTCCCAGCTGACTGGAGACCCTGGATGTCCACAGTCCCCGTCACATCACACTAGCAGAAAAATCACCCGGCTGTGTGCCTCGTCAACAAGCAGAATCAAGACATGGGATAAAACGATTGTTGCTTTAAACCATTGAGTCTTGGAGTCGCGTGTTACATGGCAAAACACAACGATGACACTTAGTTTTTACATAAATATCGTTTTTTAGAGATGATGTCAAGTTCACATTTAAAATGAATATGTTTGGCCAAGCCAACAGATAGCTTTTATCATTTTAAAGGGAGCTTTCAAATTCTCTAAATATTCAGAGAAGGAGGAAGGGAACCTGACCCGCTAATAATTCATCTATGGGAACCTGAGGGACTTTTTAGGTGCTCTTTTTTTTTTCCCCCAGAAAGGAGTTAATTTCCCTGTCCTTGTGCTGCCCTCTAGCGGATAGAAAGAGAATGAAACAGAAAGGAAATTCTATTCTCCATGCTCCTGGCTAAATCACACCAAAATATTTCTTTTTTTCTTTTAAAGATCTTATTTATCCATCCATGAGAGACACACAGAGACACAGGCAGAGGGAGAAGCAGGCTCCTTGGGAGGACCCCGATGCAGGACTCGATCCCAGGACCCCAGGGTCACGCCCTGAGCCAAAGGCAGATGCTCGACCACTGAGCCACCCAGGTGCCCCATACCAGAATATTCCAAATCAGAGTTCCAGTAAAGCTTACTGGATTTCCTGGTGGGGAAGGGATGAGTGAGTGGGGGTGAAAGGGTGGATGATGGGGTGTTTTTACATGTAACTATAATTCGAGCATTTCAGGGAAGTCATTGATTTTTTTAAAAATATCTTACAATTGTTGCAGGATATTGCTGTAAATGAATTTCATTTTCTGTATATTCACAATGTTCTTAGTACCGTGCTTCTTCTCGGTGGCAACCAACAACCACATCGACAAGGGGACAGTTTTAACACTTAACCCTGTAGGCCAGAAATGCCTTGTGCTCAATTTTGCAAATCCGCATCTCTTATCCACTAACCTACTGTTTTTTCTTGTACATACACAAGCAACCTCAAGCTTTTGTCCCCCCCGCCCAGATCCTTTGTTAACAGAAGCTTTACACGTAGATAAAAGTGTAAAGCTAGTAGAGCAAAAAGAACAAGTAAAAAGAACAATTGGTTGGAAAAAACCCAAATGTCCCCCCGCCACCACTAGCCTGCTTCCTGTCACCTTATGTACCAGTAGGAACTCAAGGGAGCATGATCTGAAAGTCATAGAATTAGATATTGTTGCTATTTCAATTCCTTTAAAACGATGTTTTATTATCAATAAAAGCTTTATTTTATTATTTACCTTATGTATCTAAAGAGGTTTGTTGGGCTCTCTGAAGGAAGGTAAAACTCTAGAACTTAACTATATAAGCAAACATTAGTTACACTGCACAGGGGCCCTTGGGACAGACAACGGCTTGCTGACTTTGTCATCTTCACTCCCTTCCTTTTCTTTTTTTGTCTGACTTTCTGTCTCCCTCCTTTTTTTTCATACTTTTCCTTCCATCCATCCATCCATCCATCCATCCATCCATCCATCCATCCTTTCTTCCTTCCTCCCCCACAAAGCCTTGTCCTTAACACAATTTGAGCCAGGTTACAAAATTACATCCAAACCTAAGAATTGAATGAATAAAATCATGCAATTATTAAGGAAGAGAAATAAGTATGGGGAAAAATAAGATAATGGCAGGGAGGAGCTTTAATCCTCCAAACTTAGAGCTTAAGATGGCACATTTTGGCTGAAAATCGAGCTCCAAGTCCTCTAGAAGCAAATGCAAAAAGGAACATGTCCAGCTCATGCTATCTATATAAGCCAAACAAACCAATTATTTCAGGGTCAGGGAACTGAGGTCTGATAGAAATGCCTTCACCCAGGGCCTCAAGGAGAGGACCCTTGTGGGATGCAGCAAACACAAGCTCTGTGTTTCTTTTTTGATTTTTTTTATTCATGAAAGACAGAGAGAGATGAGAGAGAGAGAAAGAGAGGAGAGAGAGAAGAGGGGAGAGAGAGAAGAGGGGGAGAGAGAGAGAGAAGCAGGCTCCATGCAGGGACTCGATCCCGGGACCCCAGGATCACGCCCTGGGCTTAAGGCGACACTAAACCACTGAGCCCCCCGGGCTGCCCAAGCTCTGTGTTTCTTACAATACCCCTTGATGAAATCCGATGGCAGAAAGATATATATTCCCACTTTATCCAACAGGAAACAGAAGCTCAGAGAAGTTAGCACACATCCCTCAGATCACACAGCCACAGAGAAGAGCAGCCAGGATGCTAATTCTCAGCTCTTTTCTTTTCACCCTTGCTATCTATGCAGGTTTGATGCCTTCACACCTGTGGTAGGTATTCATTTTGTCCTCCCATACGACTGCTCACCAATTATTCATTAGCCAGCTAACATGCATACTCCGTGGGAGGTTTAAAAACTATGGCACAGAGAACCTAGGTAGGTATCCTAGCTTAGGAAGATCGTGCTTTCATGTGTTAGGAAATCAAGGCTTTGATTGACTTTGTGCCTTTTACTAAATCCTTGTGACTAAATCAGCCTGACTTTCCCTTTACAAATATTCCCTCTATACATTAAGAGAAGGCTCTCCTCCATCATAGTTCACAAGATCTTTGATAAAATCTGGTCTAAAGCCCCAAAGCTGGCTGGCCTTTCTTGTTTTTCAGTGTCTTTTCACTTCCTGGCTTATGGATGTTCATGGGATTATGAGAGAAATGCATTCATTTATAGATATTTTCTGAATGCCTCCTACAAGCCAGGCGCTGCTCCTCATTTCAGCTGAGGCACATCTACACCGATCTGGGGGCCCTGAAAGCATGAAGCAATGTTAAGGATAAGAAGAATGAATGGAATCTCTGAGTCTAAACTTAGCAGTATCCTTTTTTTTTAACATTTTATTTATTTACTCATGAGAGACAATGAGAGAAAGAGAGAGAGAGAGAGAGAGAGAGAGAGAGAGAGAGAGTCAGGCAGAGGGAGAAGCTGACTCCATGCAGGTAGCCTGATGCAGGGCTCGATCCCAGGACCCCAAGATCATGCCCTGAGCCAAAGGCAGATGCTCAACCTCTGAGCCACCCAGGTGCCCGTAGCCCTATCCTTTGACATAGAGTTTTAGATGGTAGAGTACTGTAAGAGATGGGAGAAAAATCCCAAATACAGGCCAAAAGTAGACTACGCTTTAAGAGTCAAAAGCAGGGCCAAAGAAGAAATGAAAGAGTTACAGTATTAGGTGAGAAAGAAAATCTAAAGATCATGGTATAATGAAAAAGTAGAGAGAATGTTTTAGCAGAGAAATTGGATGGCCTGTTCAAATTAAAGAATTTGGGGTGGGAGGTTGAAAAAAAGCATTATTTTAAAACCAGTGATTTTTTTTAAAGATTTTATTTATTTATTCATGAGAGAGAGAGAGAGAGAGAGAGAGAGGCAGAGACACAGGCAGAGGGAGAAGCAGGCTCCATGCAGGGAGCCTGATGTGGGACTTGATCCAGGGACTCCAGGATCATGCCTTGAGCCTAAGGCAGATGCTTAACCGCTGAGCCACCAAGGCGTCCCTAAAACCATGTGATTTTTTTAAACCATGGCAAGTAGGTCAAGATGGAAAGCCTGAGCATCTGGATAACTATATTCTTCTGAGAGATTCATAAATGGGGAAGATCGTCGACTTGGAGAAGCCATGGAGTGAGACAGCCGTCACATTTTAAAAATCCAAAATCCTTCCATGATTTAAGAGCTAAAGCAAAATGTATTTAAAAGGGGGAATTGGATGAAGTGCCTGAGTGGCTGGGTCAGTTGAGCGACCAACTCTTGGTTCCAGCTCAGGTCATGATCTCAAGATCATGTGAGATTGAGTTCTGCATAGAGCCCTGTGCATGGAGCACTGAGGCCCCGCACTTAGCAGGGAGTCAGCTTGAGCTTCTCTCCCTCTCCCTCTCCATCCCCCCACGCCTTACCCTCATGCTCTTTCTAAAATACACACATACAACCTTTAAAAAAGGTGAATTGGAGAAGGAATAGTCAACAGCCAAGGTTGCTATGACACTGTGTTGTTTGGGCCCAGCATGAATAGCGATCTGGAGAGGGTCTCATCTACTATCAGAAAGAGCAGTAAGTCCTGGAAACTCAAACTTTTAGAGGTGGAAGGACCTCGGGAGATGGTTTATCACAACTCCTTCCCTTTATAGGTAGGAACACTGAAGTTCCGATGAGATGGAATGCTTTGTCTGTGTACAAGTTCCCCAAACAAGGCCGGAGTTTTAAAAGTAGCTGCTGGTGAGCAGAGCCAGAAGGCCACGGAGGTACCACGAACAGGGCCACAGGGCCGCAACCGAGAAGAAACCCCTCAACTAATGGAACTGAACGTGCCAATGGCAGCATGTGCCCGAAGCAGAGAAGCAGGGAGCGAAGGCGACGAAGAACATGCAGGTCACACCACGTCTAGAAGGATACGGCCGGGGTTGGAATCCAAGATGAGGCACTTTACACAGTCATGTGTTTGCCTGGGAAAAAAAAAAAAACTACACCCGCTTCACGCACACTCGAAGGTACGGGTTCTCATAATGTTAGGTTCCCAAGGATGGAAGAGGAGGGTTTCAGTTTGCAAATTACTGGCAGCGCGTTGGCTGTGGCCCCGGGAGAACCTGCTGCAGGAGGGATGCGCTGAGGCATGGGGCGCCTGAAGGCCTGTTTCTTCTGGGTTCCGCTCTACTGCTCCTGCGTGGGGGGCGGCCCCCTTGAGTTTTTCCCGGTTTTACTGAATAATCACTGACACACACCCCTGTGTGAGTTTAAGACGTATGGCCCGATCGGGTGGTTTCCATACCCTCAGAAGAGGCTCAGCGGACATCCACTCTCCCGAGCAGGTCCCATAAGAAGGAAGAAGGAAAGAATATGGGGAAACACGTTCTCTTCTTGTGATGACAGCACACACTCAACAATCTCAAAATTTCCTTTCAACGCTCCTCCTGCAAACCACACAGCAGGGCGAGCTACAGCTGTCGTGTTGTCCATCACACCCCCAGGACCTATTTATCAGACAACTGGAAGTTGGGACCTTTTGATCATGTTCCTCCAAATCCCCACCCCCGCCATCTACCTCTAGGAACCACAAGTCCGATTCCTTCTTCTTCTGTATGTTTAATTTTAGTTGTTTGGTTTTTATTTTTCTTTATTTTTTTACTTTTTGAGATTTCTTTTTTTTTAAGATTTTATTTATTTATTCATGAGAGACACAGAGAGAGAAAGAGGGGCAGAGACACAAGCGGAGGGAGAAGCAAGCCCCCTGCAGGGAGCCTGATGTGGGACTCGATCCTGGGTCTCCAGGATCACGCCCTGGGCCCAAGGCAGGCGCTAAACTGCTGAGCCACCCAGGGATCCCCAACTTTTTGAGATTTCATCTATGAGTGAGATCAGATGATATTTGTCTCTGTCTGACTTATTTCACTTTGCATGATGCCTTCAAGGTGCATCCACATTGTCGCACCTGGTAGGATTGCCTCCCTGCTATGGCTGAATAAATGCCGCTGTAATTTTTTCTCCCTCATTAATGACTGCATCATCCAACTATGCCCTCCCAGAAACCATGTTAAGGTCTCTCGCAAATCAGTGGTGAATTTTCAGACCCTGTTTTTGAATCACTGCCCGAAATCATAAATCTAAGAAGACAGACTCAAACCATTCATCTAAGTCACATTTGGCTGCTAGTTTTCCTGTAAGCACTTACATTCATTAAATCAATAGCTATTAAATCCCAAGACATTTGGCCAGAGAAAGTACCGGTCGTTCACTTTTGCAAGATTATTTCTAAAGACTCAAGAAAACTAAAGAACCGCCCTCCCCCCTCCCCAAATTGCAAAAAGCCACAAGACCGGCTCGTTTCTTGAGGTCAAGTTGAGTTTTGAGTCTCAGCTTAGAGGAGGCTGGTATTTTCCAGACCAGTAGTGAAAGAGGTTTTCTGATAATGACTGCTTAGAATAAAAGCACCTAATTCAAGTTCCCTAAATTTGGAATATGGAAACTGTCGGTAGGAGGTTACAACAGAACACAGTGCTGTAGAATTTACAGAAGGAAATACATTCTCTAAAAATAAATGCAAAATTGTAAGCTGAATTTTCTCTGAGGAGTTTCCTGACTGACGATGAAAAGCCACAGAAGGGACGGAAAACGGCGGCCTGGCCCAGAGGGAGATGCTCACGGGCTGGAGCCACTCCTGAGACGTGGGGGTGGTGTGCTGGTCAGTATTTAGGTTCGCTGTACCGATGCCCAGTTATATAACTGCCAGGACCAGGGCGGCATCTGTAACCTAGCATCACATTGCCAAGGGACTCTTTTGAGCGTGTCCTACTTTCCTTGCAACTTGACACAGTGGGTAAAGGAAAACTGGAAACTCGGGACCCAGATTCCTAGCTTCACCTCGACTGTGTCAATACGTCAACAGGACAAAACCACATGACTTCCAAACACCTGAATGAACAGTTAATCCAAAACAACGTGTAATCGAAAACATCATTCCTATTGCAATCTTTGGTGCCAGACCTTTCTGCCTGAAGAAGAGGAACATAAAACACAGAGGAGTCCCAAGCAAAAATAAAACCCCTGAGAGTTTTTAAGAGGCCATCCTGCTAAACTTCTATGAGATGAGGAAGAAGCCTTGCTCCGGCTCATTGTGTCCCCTTCCTGGTACAAAGTAGTCACTGCAGGGCATCTAACCAGCAGGAATCCCTGTATGTTCTGGGGATTCCGAAGTTTTCCATAAAGGCTGATTCTGAAAATGTGTTCTAAAGATGACTGTGTTTTTAAGAAGCCAGTTAAGTAGCCTCAAATACAGACGACCGTTTAAGGGAGTTCTTTTTTTTTTTTTTTAAGATTTTATTTATTTATTCATGAGAGACACAGAGAAAAAGGCAGAGACATAGGGGAGAAGCAGGCTCCCCGTGGGGAGGCCGATGTGGGACTTGATCCCTGGACCCTGGGATCATGACCTGAGCTGAAGCCAGAGGCTCAACCACTGAGCCACCCAGGAGCCCCAAAGGGAGTTCTCATGACATCTTTTGTCAAGTCAAAATCTCCTTTAGGTTGTCTTTGTTCTCTGTGCAGATACACTGATTTGCCCAAGGGCTTCTCCAGAGCATAGGATTCCCCTCTCTGTGGCCTTGGGGGGTAAAATCCAGCAGTGAGGCAGGGGCAGGGACTCAGTGGCTCTCTCTTCTCACTATCTCGGGCCTGGTAAACTCTCACGGGAAGCCAGCAGGCAAGACCACTCCAGATCTAGTGAATGTGTTGTTCTGGGAGCCTCTGTGGTCTGATCACACTTGAGGGGCTTTGGAAGCCGTGTAGAGCACAGCACGCAGAGCCGGGCTCTGTCAGCAACTGGGGAGTGCCCATCTCCCCAACTCCCTTCCCCCAGCAGAGCCCTAATGCCTCCTGTTTTCTATCGAGTTGCTCAGAGCCATTAAGGATGTGACTCAGAGCAAACCTCTTGCAAGCAGAGGGGATGATACTCCAGGCTTGGGCTGTGGAGGCCCTCGATGCCTGGTGGTCTCCTTCCCTGAGGTGTAGACAATGACGCTTCTGGTGTTAATGCCTTGAAAATCCACAGCTACCCTTCATTCTACATCCTACCACGAGGACTTTAAGATCCAGACTCTTCCCCACCGAATGTTCAGGGTATCGGATCTTTTCAAAAAAGCTGAATATGATTACAGGCCAGTAGTAACCTACAATTCAATTACCTCAATATCAGACACCATTCACCCGCCATTAGTTCATGCATTCATTCTTTCTCATCATCTGTGAGTCTAAGTGCAAAGCACTGCTCTGGTAGCTGGACTGTAGGGATGGGAGGGTTACAGAGCCCCGGGCTTCACGAAGCCCACAGTTAAAGGTCGGGTTTCAAATGTGATGCAGAGATTATAGCTCACTTACTGCAAAATGGTTCATACGGCGTGAAAAGCTTTGAAGATCGAAAATGAATAAGTGAAACAGGCCTGCGAGGGAGAGAAGGACTAGGTAAGAGTAAGAAACGAGCACAGAAACTTACCAAAAAGTAAAAATAGCAAACATCTAAATGAGCCGTGCAAAAAAAAAGGTCTCCAGATCATTTATACATTCAAACATCTTCAAGGAAACCATACCCGAAATAACTGGCGGGAGCGTGGGGCCTGGGAGACCTAGGGTCCTACCTGTCCATGTAATATCAGGCTTCCTTTTGCCTCCTTGGGCCTGTTGCCTTGCCTATAACCCGAGAGATGACACCCCTTCCATGTGAAAAGGTCCAAAAGCCTGTTAGTCTATAGGGTGCAGAAAAGGGTATGCACCAGTCAGAGCCCCAGAAGGGGAATTTCAAAGGAGCCTAGAAATGGGGCCAGGGGTTGTTATCAGGAGCTGTAGCAGGCACCGTGATGTGCCTTCTCTGGGGGCACCGCCTCTGAAAAGGCCCCAGCGTCTCCCAGCCCCACCTGGCTCCTGCTCTTACCTCAGCAGCAGGTGAATCTCAGTCCTGCACCCTCTCCTCACTGACCAAGGCAGATGCTTGCTGCTCGGTGGCTCAGCACAGAGCAGGGAAGTTACCAGAGCAGCACGTGGGACGTGCTTTCTGAGACGTCAGTGTGAACGGCTTGCGACACGCTGATCCAGTTCACTCCCAGTTTCTAGGCAAGGCTGTAGGCACACTGTCCCAGAAAGAGAACCATCTACTATTTTCTTAAAAGTATCCAAATAAGGAAACCCTGCAACCTCACTGGTGTCTCATATCCCTACCTGTAACCTAAATCTTTTCTGATACCATTAAAGCTTCCTCTCTCTTGGGCTGTGCTCAGAGGGAATTACAGAAGCTGCTCAATTCATAAAAATTTCTGTCACAGGCCTTAACGATTGCCACCAAGCCTTTAAAAAAAAATTCTTTGAACTTTTTTTTTTTTTTTGGGGGGGGGGTTAGTCTTCCAAACCTTTAATAGTTTTCCCTTGCTATATTCTGGGTCTATGCCGACTTCCTTAAATAATGACATAAGATTAACAAAGTCTTAGAATGCAGAGGTAAGGGGACCATAGAGATCACCTATATGGCCACTCTCTTCCTGCCACAGAGGAATAAGATGACACCCAAGTTAAAGGATGCTGTCACGGAGCTCACCGGGACTGGAGTCCACACCTCTTTAATTTTCCCATTTCCTTTGTAAGTTTTCAGACTCAAGATGTAAGACTGTTCTTTCGGTCAGTCCTGCTCAACATCCAGTAGGAATAACTCCCCTATGATTTCAAATATCTAATAAACATAATTTCATGTGTTTCCTGTACATGAAGAAGGACTTAATCTAGGTATTAACAGGGCACCGTCAGGCTACCAAGGCCCTAGGTCCTAGGCTACAAACATGCCAATGAACACATACAACTGACACCTTCCAGGTTACGATGACCAAGACCAGGTGAATGCATTCTTCTGGGTGTTTTTTCTTTTTCTTGCCTTTGCATTTAGGTCCTCTGATTTTCCTTCGCGACCCAAAAAATCCAAACCACGTTGAAACAGCTCACCCTGAGGCACAATGTTCAAAAGATAGAATGCCAAATTCACATATAAATACTAAAATGGCACCCTCAGACTTCTAAAAATGATCAGCATGATTTTAGACATTCTGGTCTCCTCGCTGTTGGGTGGGGATCAGTGAGCTCCTGGTCCCTGACTCTGAGCTCTGGTCCTGACCTGGGCAGGTGGCTCTTCCGGCAGATGATGAGATCATGACCTGGAAGTCTAGACCTGAAGTCACCTCACAGAGCTCCCTCTGCATCAGCCACATGGCAGGCTCTCAGGTGAATGAATAAACTCATCAGCTGATGGCATGTAGGGCTTGAGAAGTCTGCAATCACCTCCTTTGAGGAGTTTAATGATGATATTCTTGTGCACATGTGAATAATATCCCTTGCATGGGAAGGGACAAATGCCTAGAGCAAGCAAGCGAAGGCCTTCAACTTTTGTGAAACATTTTGCTGGAAAAATGACTTTGGTGAGTTGATCCGTGGACTGAACAGAGGCTAGTGTCCCTAGGCTGTCTTTGAACTGGCCAAGGAAGGTTCAGTGGTCCCCCCCGCCCCCCCCCCCCCACGGCCACCAGGGTAGCAGAGTCTAGTGCTGAGCCTAGGGTAGCAGGCCTCTTCAAGCTGTAAACCCTGCTGGCGGCCTGTGGTGCCTGGCAGTGGGTCCCTAAGTAGAGCGTCTGACTCTGAGCTGAGGCCTACTGAGGTGAGAGGACAGGAACTGTGGAGACAGAGCAGGGACCAAAAGGAGGGCAAAACTAGCCGGGATGCTCCAACTCAGTGACCCAGGAGCCCACAGGAAACGGCGAGGAATGGACGTGAGGGTCCACTGGGGTGGAATTTGCATATCACTCTCTGGACTATGAAATTCATCCTCTGGTAATTCCAGATATCTGCTACTGAACCGACTCCTCTATCTGTACATGTTTTTCTTTCAATAAATATCTGCCAAATACCTACTCTATGCAGGTTCTGGGTCAGAGGCTGGCAACACAGAGATGGGATGTGGCCCTGCCCTGTTTAGGAGGGGGTGGGTGGGGATAGTGTATTGTAGTCACTAGAAAACAGAGGGAGGGGGAAAACAGGTCTCCCCTGGAGAGCCAGGCGTGGCCCCCACAAGAAGTGACATTTGGCCTGGATTTCCACAGATGGGGAGATGTGTAGAAACAACTCAGTCTTTTTTCTTACTCATGCAAGATGATTAATCCTTACCCTCTCCATAGAATAACCACTCTGTCTATGTTGGAGTCCGAGAACACAACAGCCAAATGACAAATGGGAAGGCCAGCTAATGTTTCCTGAACGGCTTCTCAGTGCTAAGTGTCTTCTATGCATTATCACATTTAACTGGCGCCACAATCCTATGGAGCATCGTTATGATTTCCTCCTTATAGATAAGGGAACTAAGATTTTAATTAGTGGCCAAGGGTCACCTTGCTATGACCTGGGGAAGCCTTGTGCTTACACCGGAGCGCAGGGGTAGGGGACAGCACCCTATGCTGCCCCACTGCAGGCCAACACAATGGAAGTCTCACTGGTGGCACCTTTCCTTGTGCCCGTGACCACTGGATTCTGTATCTTAAGGTTCCCTACTCTCCTTTGGGGGTCCTCAGCTCTGACCTCATGTTAACGACGGTCACGGACACACACACACACACACACACACACACACACCCTTTGGAAGATTTTACCCAGGACTGGGGCTCGTCCTAGACTCTTTTGAGAAGTTCTAAATGTCTCTTCTCTTCAATGCCTCAACACCTTGAGGGAAGGGTTAAGAGCGAGACCACCAGCAGTGTGCTCTTGCCCATCCCTGCCCGTCCTCCTGCCTCTGGGGCACAAGGGATCCTCTCCATTAGCATCTCCATGCCTGCCATCCAATCACATTGGCCTTCTCCTAGGTGCTGGAGACGCAAAGATGAAGAGCAGCCAATCTTGGCTCTGAAAGGACACTCAGTCCCTGAAGGCAAGCGCCTATGCAACTCAGAGGCCATCCTGGCCTTCGCACTCAAAATGGGTTATTATCATGGTGCTGTAGGGGCACAGACAGGGAAGCCCTTAGTTCTGCCCCCAAAGAGAAGGGCAAGCTGTCCAAAGAAGGCGATACTGACCTTCACTGAGCTGCATCTTAAAGAACCAGTTGAAGTTGTCCAAAAAGACAAAATGGAAAGGGGTACCCTATTTCTCCATGCAGTGGTCGCCCCTCATCTGTGGGATATACGTTGCCACACCACCAGTGGATGCCCGAGACCACAGATAGTACTAAACCCTATACCTGCTCTGTTACCCCTTTATCCATGGCCGACTCTGATAAAGTGTAATTTATAAACCAGGCCCAGTCAGAGACCAACAGTGACTAGTGGTGGAGCAGTTCTGACGACGTCCTGCAATACGAATTAGGTGAATGTGGTCTCCTCGCTCTCTAAATACCTCACCCTCCTTCTTGTGAGGATGTGCGATGATAAGGTGCCTACGTGATAGGACACGGCGAGGGAGTGGTGAAGGCGCTGCGATGTAGACCTTTGCTTTCTGAAAATGTCAAAAGGAGGCCATTCTGCTCTCGAGACCACAGTTGACTGCAGGTCACTGAAACTGTGGAAAGCGAAACCATGGATGGGGTGGGGGTGGGATTACCCTATAAGAGAACACAGCCAGCCCTGCAAAGGGAGGAGAACGGAGCAGGAGGTGGTCACCGAGGAAGCTTTTGGGGGGTTGGCACGCCTGGCCCAGGAGGCTGCTCCTAGAAGAATTTGGGGGAGTGCCAGCACAGCCGCCTTCCTCACTAGCTCTTGTTTCTAGAAGAAAAACCTAGGTGGTCTAGGCTCTCCTCACTGCCTTCAGTCACAGTGCTCACCACTTCCCTCTAGGTGATGCAAACACTCCCCGCCCTCCTCAGGCCACGAAATGAATGCACCCAGAAGCCATTTCGGTGTGTTTGTAGGGCCGAGGCTTCCTCCTTCTCTCACCAGCTCCCATCCAGAAAATATGGCCCCACAAGGTGAGGAGGGAACTGGATCGTGTTACAAAACGGGAAATGGCAGCCCCGGAAAAGTGAAATTGTTCCCAGAAGTCTCAAAGTGAGTCAGTGATTGGTCTGAAAAGAGAAGTAGAGCCTCCAGGATGCTGGTTAGGTCTGGCAAGATACGGGAAAAACAGAAGTCAATTAGCATTTAAACAACCTAACAGATTAAAACTGAAAAACCCTTTGAGATGCAGATTCCATGAGACGTGCTCTATATCTTAAGTATGTAGATGGAGAGGAAAACAAGGGGTAGGCTTTCTCCTCCCAGGCCTTTCAAGAATGGCCTGGGCTCCACCGTTTTCAGGACTCCTATTGCTACCACACAAGCTGCCTTTCTCCTGGTCCAAGCCAGCAAAAAGGCATTTCAGGCATCACACAAGCCTCATCAAATGCTATCTTTTCTTCCTTTGGGAAATTATATGTATAATTGAATAC